CCAGTCTGTGGATTGTGGTTGTTAGATGCAGAAAAGGGCTTTGTTTGATTAGAATTTCTTTATTTGCGGAGAGTTTTAAAATAATCTACATTTGGAGACGGGTTCATCACCACGATACAGATTTATATTCTAACCCTACATACAGCAAGGGTGTACATAGGAGGGTGCTTTTCTGATTTGTTCCAGGTTAGCAGAGGAACTAGACAAGGAGATCCCCTGACCCTGTCAATGTTCAGTTTGTCAATTTAAATGCTGACTCAGCTCTTTACAAATTGACTCCAAATAGCTCCAATTTTTGCAAATTACTTTATGCCGACGATACCTTCATTTATATGGCAGATGTTCAAAATTCTTTTCCACATGTGTTAAATAATCTCGTGAGATTATCTCAGAATGCAAGGTCAATTATTCCAAATCAGCGTTGATGCTAGTTAACATTCAAAGTCATAAAATACCATTACATCCTCAGATGGTTATAGTGAAGGAAACTAACTACTTGGGCATTAAAGTTTAACAGCGTTTGCCAAGTTAAAATATCTGTCAGTACTGAAAAGGATTGAAGAAGGAAACACCTGCCTGCTTGGTCCCGGGTAGAATTTAAGTCATCAATATGAATGTAAACTTTTTAAGTTACTATATTCAATACTTGGTCAGTTTACTGATTTGTTTGAATTAAGCTGGTTAAATGTTTTACGTTGAAAGGGACAAAGAATCTAAACCAACAGTTGCTTGTCGTTTGTGAATAAAGACAGCTTGGGTGGTCAAAAGTAGCATGCCAAAAAGTCTAAGCTGTGTTTGACCTACTTTTTATGCAAATTAGAAAGTTTAAAAATGTCAAGAGAAGAAATTGTTTTCTGAGAAACCTCTCATAAAAATGTCACAATGTGGAGCCCTTCCTCCTCCATTCTGCAGTCTCCACCAGTGTCTCAAACCAACCAGTCGGCAAGCAGCTCATTTGCATTTTCATGTCCTGGCCAAGTGGGAGGGGTAAACGGCTCTTTTCACAGCAGACTGATTTAGGGGGTTTAGAGTGGCCTGGATCAGGGCTCCTGGGAAGGATGACAGCCAAAAGTTATTAGTGAGATTTTAGTATACGCAGAAGGCCGAAAAAAATCTAGATACCAACTATGAAAACTGGCTAAACGTAACGCCCATCGGCTGACCATGACCTCTGCATATCGGCATCGGTAATATAAAAACCAATATTGGTTGTTCTCTAAAACAGATTATGTGAAACATAAAGAGTAGCAACCGGAACATTTGTTGGATCTTAACAGGAACTGGCGAGAGCGGGAAGAGCACCTTCATCAAACAGATGAGGATCATCCATGGAGGAGGATATACGGAAGAGGAACAGAAGGGCTACGCAAAACTGGTCTTTCAGAACATCTACACATCAATGCAGACCATGATCCGAGCCATGGAAACTCTAAACATAGCTTTCTCTGATCCTCAGAACCAGGTGCTAAATCAAACCATGTCTTGCAAAATAATTTGGCTCAGCATTTGAGCTATAGAGAGTTCATGTTTTTATGTCTGGTGTCCAAAGAACAATGCACACTCAGTCCTGGAGGTGGAAGTGGACAAGGTGGAGGAGTTAGATGCAAACCTGGCGGTGGCCATAGGTACTCTGTGGAAGGATGCAGGAATACAGGAGTGCTACGACAGACGCAGAGAGTACCAGCTGTCTGACTCTACCAAATAGTGAGCATGCTTTAAAAACCTCTGCACTCACGCCTGAAGGTCTGCTGAGCCTGGTCAGATTTATCACTCATCCAGATCTAACCCTGCCTGTAAAGTTTTAATGATTCCTAAAGCTTTGCCTGAAGCAAATCCAATGGAATTTTTGGTGCAAAATCACTTTTAAAATGTAGTTTTTTGTAAATATTTTCAGCTATCTCACAGAACTGGATCGGATTTCGCAGCCTTCCTATCTACCAGACCTCCAGGACATCCTCAGAGTCCGAGTGCCGACCACGGGTATCATCGAGTACCCCTTTGACATGGACAACGTCATTTTCAGGTGACATGCAACGTATAACCCTTTTGTCAACTTTAGTTGTTCTCACTGCAGCAGACAGCAATGTTGTCTCTCTGTTGACGCTGTTTTGTTGGCAGAATGGTGGACGTGGGGGGTCAGAGGTCAGAGAGGAGAAAGTGGATCCACTGTTTTGAGAACGTCACTTCTATCATCTTCCTGGTGGCGCTCAGTGAGTATGACCAGGTCTTGGCTGAGTGTGACAATGAGGTAAGAGTCCAGCTCAAATCTTAAAAGACTACCAGGTGAGTTTTGTTTAAAAAAAACCTTTGCTGCTGTTTTCAGAACCGTATGGAGGAGAGCAAAGCCCTGTTTAAGACCATCATCACCTACCCCTGGTTCGAGAAGTCTTCTGTCATACTGTTTCTCAACAAGACCGACATCCTCAAGGAGAAGATCATGTACTCCCACTTAGCCACGTACTTCCCAGAATTCAAAGGTTAGATTGTGCTTTTATCAGTTCAGCGCAAAGGTTTGGATCAAACATAATAAATGAAATCCTAAATTACAGGACCGCAACAGGATCCTGTTGCAGCTCAAGACTACATCCTGAAAATGTACCAAGAACAAAACCCGAACAGGGACAGGAAGCTGTACTCCCACTTCACCTGCGCCACGGACACCGAAAACATCCGCCTAATCTTTGTGGCTGTGAAGGACACCATCCTCACAGCCAACCTTAAAGAATTCAACCTGGTTTAAAGCAAAGGAATACCACACAACTGTCTGTGATACTAAATGAAACGCTCTACTTACAAATCACTGCATTTCAGGCAGTCATGAGGAAAATTTGAGAAAAACCGGTGATGATGCAGGCTGCTATTTAAAAAAGCGCTGTTATTTTATTGTCTGCAGACAGCTATGCTGTAAAGTTGCACTGATTGCAGTTTGGATTTCTGATTTTTCGATGACACCTTCAGAAGACGTTTTTGCTCTGAGAAACATAAACGAAAGCATATGCATTAGCTTACTTGAAGACAAATGGCATATTTATTAGTAAATCTTTTAGACTTTCTTTACAACTAACACCAGGTTATGAGGATTTCTCTCTCAGCCTTGAGAAATTAGAAGATAAAATTCTCCAGGTTACTGGACAGAAGTATTTGTACAAAGAATATGGGACTACTGTATATCTATTAGATCATTCATCAATACCGTCACCATAAACCATAAAAGACCACAAGGCAACTTTCTCTAAATGCTCTTAATTTCACATTTCAGAATTTAAAAAAACAATAAACTTCATTTGTAATGTTACTTATTTGATTTCAACTGTTTTGATCCCAAATGACAGATTTTACATATCTTAGTTGGCACCTGGTGAATTAAAGGATAACCGTGGGCTATTTTAGACTTACTGTTGCATAAAAACAGATTTTAATTATAAAAGAATATGACGCCTCTTTTTCCTAACAGATAATATAAACAACTATTTTTATTCTTCATAAAAGCTCCATTCAGAAGATGCGTGGTTGCTATTAGCTTAGCGGTGGTGCGTTCAAAGACAAAGAAAAAAGATTCATATTTTTATAGTCAAACCTGTCATCAGTGCATTTCCATTGTAACTGATATTTAGAGGTAAGTTAGTGTCTGCGTGTGAACTGCTTTACTGAGTGATTTTACTTACAGAGAATATTAACTCATTTAGAAAATGTTAAGATTTTATTTTAAATGCCTATTTTACACTATTTTCTCATGTTTAGATGTACATAAACTCAGTTGTACTTTAAGAAATTCAAACTGTTTATTTAAGTAGAGTTATAAATATTATTTGTGGTTGTTGTCAATAATTATTTAATAAAGAATAAAAATACTTGGTTCCTTGAAGTGTTTGTGGAACACCAAATAAGTAAACATGGAGCAGAAATTTGGAGCATCTTTAATTGTTTTGAAGATGGCCAAAATTCTAAATAAACCGAGATAAGGGGAAATGGGCTTTAGAAATACTAACTGATAATAAACGTTAATGCACCCCAAACCAAAGTGAAAACCTCGTACATCAGAGTAAACAGCAGCAGATGTTAATAATTACATTTCCTCTGCATATTTCACTGTTTGCATTGCATATGTGTGGTATAAAACATGAAAATTATAATCTGCAATACAGATTAATGAGGATGGTATAAACAGAACACTAGATTAGATTAATGTACAGCAGAGATACAGCTCAATATTGTATAAAAATAGCATGCATCTTAAACTCGTCTTTATTTAGCAAAAAATGTCTTTAAAAAAGCAAAAAAAAAATTAAATGTAAACTAAAATAAGGACACATCGTTTAAATTATGAGAATAATTACAATAAAGTTACACGCATGCACATCTTTTAATTGGTTTTCCTTTGATATAATTCAGTAAAATAAATGAGCAGGAAAACATCTGTGGTTAATTTGGCCTCAAAGTTATTTAGGAGGTTTGCAGTATCATTTCTGTGACTATGTACAACTTCAATTATATATTTTACAGCAATAAATCACAGTAAAATTTGTGACTGATGAGCTGAAAATCACCCGGAGGCCTCGAGTGCCCTTCAGCGTCGCCAGGATTTACCACAAACGTTACAAAAACGAGTTCTTAAAGTTGAGGCTTGATGACAAAACTATATTTGTGCAAAAGATGAGTGCAATTATAACAGAGGGCCGGAGAAAGTTTGGTTCAACATGCTCGAAGCTCCTGTGATGAAATAACATGATTCAGTAACTTTTTGTAGCACTTCTCATCATGTGCACGCACCCAGTCTTTCACTCCTAACACACGCTACCTGTGCACGACTCACACGTGTAGGAAAACAAAGACAGGCATGCAGTAATACTAAAGGCACTGACACACACAGATCGTGTCTGTGTGTGAGTGGCACGTCCTATTCTTTTTGGTTAGCCATTATTTGGGTAAACTTTCTCTGGCATCCTCCAATTTGGCAAGAACCCACTAAAAACAGAAAAAAGTTAGATTTAGTTTTACAGGAATCAAACATTTAGTGACGTAGTGATCGGACCGGACCGGCTCACCTTGGCTATAGCAGGAGTTGTGAAGTTTATGATCTTTCCAAACTCTTTTGCATGGAAGACTGATTTGACTCTTTCCTGCAGTCACGGTTTCGAATTGGTAAAGGTTTTTAAAACACATTTAAATAACAATTAAAGCTATGTTCTGTACCTTGGCCTCAATCCGAAGTCGCCGTCCCTCTATGATCATCGGCTCCTTCGTGAATTCTTCGAAGAGATACTGCCACTCGCAGGTCAACTGGCCAAATGTGCCTTTGGTCACAAAAAAGATTCCCCTGAAAAAAAAAAAGAGAGGGAATTCATAAATGTGAACATTTCCCTGCTGTATAGCAATGCTCGGTACAATAGTCAGTATATCTTTATAAGGTGTAGGTTTGGGTTCCTGATAAACATTTAAATACATGTTTAAATGTTGATATCAGATCTCTGCTTTTTGCAGATGATGTGGTCCTGTTGGCTTCATCAGAACGTGATCTCCGGCTCTCACTGGAGCGGTTCGCAGCCGAGTGTGAACAAGCTCAGATGAGAATCAGCTCCTTTAAATCCGAGACCATGGTCTTGAATCAGAAAAGGGTAGAATGCCTTCTCCAGATCAGGGATGAGGTCCTGCTCCAAGTGGAGGAGTTTAAGTATCTTGGGATTTTGTTCACGAGTGAGGGAAAGATGGAGCGTGAGACGGATACGATCTATGGTCACGAGCTTTGGGTAGTGACCAAAAGAAGGAGATTGAAGATACAAGTGACCAAAATGAGTTTTTTACACATGGTGGCAGGGTGCTTTAGAGATAGGGTGAGAAGCTCGGCCATCCGGGAGGAGCTCGGAGTAGATCCGCTGCTCCTACACATCGAGAGAAGCCAGTTGAGGTTGCTCGGGCTACTAGTTAGGATGCCTCTTGGACGCCTCCTTGTTGAGGTTTTCCGGATATGTCCAACTGGGAGGAGACCTAAAAGAAGACCCAGGTCATGAGGGACTATGTCTTTCGACTGATCAGGGAACGCCTCAGATTCCTCTGAAGGAGCTGGCCCAGGTGGCTGGAGAGAGGGAAGTCTGGGCTTCTCTCCTTAGGCTGCTGCCCCCGTGACCCGAACCCGGATAAGAGGAGGGTAACGGATAGATTTAAATGTGTCAACTTCAAATAATCATTTTTTATTATTTGACATGTCCATGGTTGCATGTCATGTCAAACGATGAACAAAATATTCTCCTCAAATATCCCAAATATTAAAAAAAAACAAGTAGAAAATGTGGATCTCTTTCTGAATGGCGTCACTCACCTCTTGGTGATCATGAGGAAGTCCGAATCATTGACCTTTGCATGAGCAAAGTATCTATACTCTGCAAAACGTCCATTTTCAATTTTCTGAAAGAAAAGAAGTTAAAAAGAAAGAATGTACTCAAAGGTAAACAACAAGAGAAGAGAAAGCTTCCATTCAATGGAAAACGAAGGGTGATGGCTGCAACAAAAGGATGAAACAGGAAGTGGCTGGTAGAGGTTTTTGAAATGGTTGTAGTTTATTAAAACCAACATGGCAGACAAAAATGGCAATCAGTGAATGGTGAAATACAGACACAACAGAAAATGGTGGAATAAAATAATAATGGAGACAAATAACAGATTATAACTCAAACACAATCAAATATTTGACATAAAAACACATAAAATACATAAAATACATCGCTATCGTCTTCAAGACCCTTTTCTTTTGGTGTGCTAAATGTTCCAGGTTGAAACTAATGGAGCTAAAACGAGTCCAACATGAACGACAGATAAGGCACTGATTCTACACCATAACACTTCTACAGCCACGTCTAGCTGCTTTACTCATCATCATCATCCTCTGAGGAAGCTCTAGTCCATTCACTGTAGGCCCTTCGCCACTGTGGACAGGACAAGAGAGAAGGGCGAGGGTCAGAGCGGGTTGATTTAACCCAGACTGAAGCTCTGGATTAGATAATAAATGCATGTTACGCTAGCAGCTTTCTCTTTTAGACCGCCAACCCCCCCTCTGCATTTATGATCAACGTTTGGTTTCCCATGACATTTCAAAGACTGATTCAAATGTGATCCACGGGATGTCGCACGGCCACGCGCCACACCATTTACATAACCAAAAAGGTCTGTAAAGCCAGAGCAGCTCAATAAGCTTCTGAAATAACGGAGTTAAAGTAGGTCTGAACAGCTGATTGTTCTGGTAAAGATCTGAACCATCATCTCTCAAATATAAAATATGAGCCTGTAGCTTGGCATTTTATGTGGTTTCTGCTCGTATGATCTCTGAACTATAAAGGTGAGGTCAGAGCTAAATGTGACAGAAGGTTTAATCAGTAACCAAAACATTAACACAGACATTACTTGTAACTTGTAAATGAATGGATGTGGTTTGAGGAGAATGAACACAAAGATGAGTGACCATGATCAGAAAAACAAAATCAAACACTTAAGAGAGTAACAACAGCTGCTATGTGTCTAAATGTTTACAATATTCCAGCTTCAACATTATATGCGCATTATTTTATAAATGAATAGAAAGTTTTTGGTTTACCTCCATCTTTAATGGGATAAACAAACAGAAAATATGATTGTAGGAAGTGGAAAAAGCTGAAAATGTGCAAAATATAGAGAAAAGAACCATAACTTAAAGGGACTTTACGGAGTTTTGAATTTTTATGCTCGCGATTGCCCCTCAGGCCAAAAGCTAACGGCAGCTTCAATAGTAGGCTCGTGCACGAGGCGCGCGTGCTGTACGTGCACACTCCTTAACGAAAATAAGAGCTGACAGTCCCTTGTGTGTGTGTGTGTGTGTGTGTGTGTGTGTGTGTGTGTGTGTGTGTGTGTGTGTGTGTGTGTGTGTGTGTGTGTGACAGAGGACAGGAGAACGTGCAGCTCATTAATTAAATAATTTGGTTCTGTACGTTTCTCTGTACGGGGGAGAGGTCCTACCTCAAGTGGAGGAGTTTAAGTATCTCGGGGTCTTGTTCACGAGTGAGGGTAGGAGGGATCGGGAGATCGACAGGCGGATTGGTTCGGCGTCTGCAGTGATGCGGACGCTGAGCCGATCTGTCGTGGTGAAGAGGGAGCTGAGCCAGACAGCCAGGCTCTCGATTTACCGGTCGATCTACGTCCCAATCCTCACCTATGGTCATGAGCTTTGGGTAATGACCGAAAGAACGAGATCGCGGATACAAGCGGCCGAAGGCTCAGCCTTAGAGATAGGGTGAGGAGCTCGGACATTCGGGAGGGACTCGGAGTAGAACCGCTGCTCCTCCGGATCGAAAGGAGCCAGTTGAGGTGGTTCGGACATCTGGTCAGGATGCCTCCTGGACGCCTCCCTGGGGAGGTGTTTCGGGCATGTCCTGCCGGCAGGAGGCCCCCGGGTCGACCCAGGACACGTTGGAGAGGTTACATCTCCAATCTGGTCCGGGAACACCTTGGGGTCCTGCCGGAGGAGCTGGTGGAGGTGGCCGGGGAGAGGACGGTCTGGAGCTCCCTAGTTGGGATGCTGCCCCCGCGACCCGGACCCAGATAAGCGGAGGAAGACAACGACAACGTTTCTCTTCAGCACAGCCGACAAAGGTTTAAGATGGGTCAGTCCTCCTGCATGCTCAGATCATTCCCTTCCCTTGCTTGAAAAATTGTTCCAAAATGAAAGTTGAACCCACATCTTTTTTATCTGTGAATTCAATGCCGTTCGGCGAGTCTCAAATAAAAATGTGGGCATCTTACTGTAAAAAAATATACCATTAATGTAAAAAAGAAACTCTAAATAAACTATGTTCACATCCAGAATCGAACCCGGGTCTTCAGCACGAGAGTACGACGTCTTACTAGGCGAGCTAAAGCACGAGTGACGTCCCTTGTATCTGTAACATTTTTATGCTTGATGACAGCTGAAACAACGTTCAAATAATGGTTCAGAGGGCTATGCCTGAGCGTGAACGCGCATGAAGCAGCCTGCTCGACCCGAGCATCTCTCTTTTTCTGTGATTTTACAGAAAAACAGGCAATCACAGTAAAAATGCTAGGGCTCATTCTACAGGACCAGGGCATTGCAGGAGAATGTATGAAGAAGACATTTATTATTTCTATACATGTTTTGGCTGTCAAACTTCCATAATGCCTCTTTAAATTAAATGTTTTTCATTGTTAAATAAACTAAAGGTTCCAATAATAATGACAGTTATCAATATTCCACGTTTTAAATGATTGGGAGTTTACCTGCAGCATCTGGCTGCCGAGGCCCTCCCTCTCCTTGTACGGTCGTATGACGCCGTCCTCATGTATGAAGCGGGGAGGTCGCAGAGACTCAATGTCTTGCGAGGTCACAGCTGCCCTAAAGACATGAAAAGGTAACAAACAAATAGTTATATCAGAGACAAATGTCTTATTTCTGGACGCAAACATTAAAGCTGGAATGACAGGATCATCTTACCTCTTGATTCCCTGGAAGGTGCTGCTGGCCATGTCGATGATGCCTCCCGTGGGTCGAGCTACGGCACCCACCAGACCTTTGCCAACGCCTTTAAAGAATCCTGCTGCACCCTCTTTCTGAGCTCCTGCACAACAGCCATTTTTGAAAAACAAAACAAAAAGGAAGGTGATGTAAAAACCCGTGAGTTTTACGGGTCTCTGCTCACCTTCAATAGGTTTGGTAACGATCCCTGTGATTCCGCTGACAAAACCCTAAAACGAAAACACACAAACATCAAAATTAAACCACATTATTGTGGTTTTAAAGTAAAGTAATTAGTTTAGTTTATTTCAAACAAAGAAAACATACATAATTTTTTTTAAATACCACAAACAGAAAAAATACATATCATCATCCCTTCTTCTCTGTTTGAAAAGGAGTAGGCTGAAGAGGAAACTTATATATCCCTACCCCTTTATACAAGTAATTTTTACTTGTTTACTAAATCTAACACAAAACCTACATTAAAACAAGCAAAATGGTACAAGTCACCAAAAAAACCAAAAACCACCAAACCATATGGAAAAAAACAAAAAAGAAAAAAAACACATCTTTTTACAATTGATACAATTTACTTTTCCTTAGAATAAAGGACACCCACATAAATCATCTATTTTCCATTATATACTTGTTCAGAATATGTTTTTTAAACACATTTATATTTGTACTTACTTTGATTTCTTCTTCTAAATTGTTCCATAATTTAACCCCTATTATTGTGATACACATCTGTTTTAATGTTGTTCTAAACTTATGTATCTTTAAGTTTAGTGTCCCTCTCAGGTTATATCCTCCTCCTCTCTCTGTGAACAGTTTTTGTATTTTATCAGGCATTCATTTATTTCTTACTTTATACATTATTTGTGCTGTTTTGTATTTAACCAAGTCCTGGAACTTCATTGTCCGCGTTTTAATAAAAAATTCATTTGTGTGATCCAAATATCCTGCATTTGTTATTAATCTGATAGCCTTTTTCTGCATTGCCGTTTTCACACAGAAGTCTGTATTATATTTACTAATAAAGAAAAAAACAATTAGTTCTGCTGAGGACTAATGAAACCAGTGTGAGTAAAATGTTCTACACACAGAGATCAGTCCTTTTCCACCCCGGGTCAGCCCCTCTTTCAGGTCCTTGGGTTGTCTGTTCATAGCTTCTCGTCTCTTCTGCTGATATTTTTCATCCAAAGTTATCGCAGCGACGCCTTTTGCCATGGCCCCGGTTATTCTCCCGGCTGCTCCTGCTAAACCGCCTGTGCAAAACCAACACAAAGTAAAGGTGACTACTGAACACCTGAGACGCGGTTTGCTGTTAAAACAACCTTCTACATCATTTATGTAGAGCTGATGAATTTTCAGGCACTTTGGATAAAATCAGAGTACTGGACTTAAATAGATTAGTTGTGCTAAATCTTATTTGCTAATAAAACTAAAATGGAGCTAATAAAACGAATGTGTTTCCTTACCAACAGCTCCGCCAACAAGGGCTTTAACTCCAAGAGACACTCCTTCTAGGAACTCCTCTGGGCCCTCGATGGCTCCCTGAAAAGACCAGAAAAGTCCTTAAAGTCCTGGAGGTAGAGGATCAGGTCTGAGCAAACAACTTATTAATAAAGTCCGGATTAATTAATAAAGGGTATCTGCAGGTTTAAGGGAGCCACATTTAAGACTTTTTTAAGGCCACTTTGACCACATTTAAGCTATTTTTTAAATTAAATTTAAGCTATAATTTCCAGCTATTGCCTGGAACCGGTGCTAACCACGTCGTGAACGTGGGATTAGCCATCCAGTTACCATTAAACTTGCACTTCCCCATGGCGCGAGCTCCCACTAGCTTAACCAGCTAATGTGCTCATCTAAAAATAGCCCCCTTTCACAACCAACTGAATGTGTACGGTTCCGCTTACGCCAATATCGTACACAAAAAACGCTGAACACTAACTAGAAATTCACGAAAATTTTATAGAAATAAAAGAATCTTGTTTATTGGGTCTTTGGTCATTTAAGACCTTTGGAAACATTTTTAAGGATTTTTAGGGCCTTAAATTTGGAAAAACAAATTTAAGCCTTTTTAAAGACCCGCGGATACCCTGTAATGGCATTGAGCAGATGTGCTTTCCACACTGGGACAGGTTACCTTATAGGGCTCATAGAAGAAAGCCTCTACACCTTCTGACAATCCTCTTATCAGCCCAAACGGGTTTCCAAGCACATCCAGGCCCAGCACAAGCACATACATCTGTTTGATAGCCTGAAATACACATGGAGGTGTTGACATTCTACCCTTTATGCTCAACAAAGATGGCAAAACTCGCTACTTTTGTAAAGAAGATTCTTGAGTTCAAAAACCTTTACCTGTTTGGAATAATGGCGGATGACCTCCTGTTGGAGCTGCTGAGTGGTGCAAAACTGGAATCTCAACTCAAAGTAGGCAAGTCTGAAAGGTAAATGACACACAGAGTCAAGAAAAACCCAACGACTTTAAACCAAAACAATAGATGAGTGTGATTCATGTGTGCGTGTAGGTGGAAGTTCTTGTGCACTTGAAAACGACGTCCTCCACGTCGGTGAGAGTCGCTCCGATGCTCTTCAGCAGCAGGTTGAGGGACTGAACCGGGATGAGTTCAGTGTCTCTCTTCTCCTTCAGGCCATCTTCTCCTCCCGTACTTAGAGAGAAACTCAAATGCAACTAAGAGCAAAAGAACACAAACTGCTGTGTTTCTAGTTTCTCTTTGGTTTAAGCTCATAAAATCAAAGATTACAATGAAGCAGATGACATTGTGGAAGGTTAGGAGGTTTGTTTCTTTTACTTAGACATGTACGACTTTTAGGGACGCCTGATGTTATCGGTCGATATGGCATCAAACTGTATCATTCAAAATGATTGGTGTTTGTCTTTACTCTTTTCTTGAAACAAAATTACATCCCATGCACTAGGGCTGCACAATATATCGCAAATATATCGTTATCGCGATATCAGCATGCGCAATATGCATATCGCAAACAACAGATAAATATTGCAATGAATGGTCAGCTCAAATGTTTGCTACACATGATGCTTTCTGTCAATCAAACGGAAGCGTGATTTTTTTAATCATATAGAGCTTTTTACCTATTTGGCGAATTGGGTGGGTTCTCGTGCCCGCCCCGACACTTAATTTTGATGGTTAGCAAACACCTGAGTTAGCTTTGTTCTGCTCTTTCTGCAGATTCTGCTTTTCCAGGAATCCACTGATTGCCTTTTCTTGTTCATTTTGTTTTCCCTTTCCTCACATCTTTTGCTTTTCTCATTTTTATGATATTTTTTGTCTTTTTTTTATTTCTTTGTTTTTGATTATTTTTGTTCCTGAGTTAAGTTTGTATTTATTGCAAGTAATATCGTCATCGCAATATTAATCACCGTTATCGCATATCGCAGGTTTTTCTAATATCGTGCACATACTATACATCTGACTCTTCAGCTTCTTCTATTCTCACTCAAAATGGCAAAAGATGACAGATTTAAGGTGTCACATTTTGAATAGATGTTTAAAGTTTAATAAGATATGAGATATGTGACGTTAGTTTGCGAAAAGTATTAGCTTTTTTCTTTTTTATGAGTGGGGACCCTGTATGGTATTGAAAATTAATGGGAAACTAGGTGGTTTTGCTTGTTTTTAGCACCCCCTAGTGTACGTTATTAATTATCTGTGGTCAAAGCAAAAGTGAAACTTATCTCCTCGCTGTGCGTTAATCTTTTTAACACCTTAACCTAACAACTGAAACGTCTCCTCAGTCTTCATTAATTTCTAGAGGAGCGATCCATCACTAAATTAAACAAATCAGCTGTGTTCATGATCTAAAACATGCAGAAAACATGATGGAAGCAGACTGCAGCACCAAGTATGTAAGCTCCATTTTTTTTTTATCTAAGTCTACAGGTCTAGGTCTGCCAGTCTGAAGTTGCAAATGCGGTATTCTGGACACAGAGGGCTGTGGGGGTCTGAGTGACATTTCATTAACCCTGTAAAGGGTCATTTAAGCACACACTGGCTCAAGAAAATCATTTAACCCTCCCACTGTCCTAATGGGTGTGACCCCGCGAGGAAACTTGACAATTGAGCAGGATTGATGGTTTATGCCTTGAGGTCAACACGGCAGGGGTGAGGTGGTGCCCACTCCTCACCCCTGCCACAAGGACCCAAGGGATAAACTATCAATCCTGCTAAATGGTCAATTTTCCTTGCAGGGTCACACCCATTAGGACAGTGGGTTAAAAATTTGAAAACGTTGCACAGTATGGCTTTAAGAGTTAGACTAAATCAGTATATTGGACTTTGGTAAAAAAAATTAATTAAAAGAAGCCAATATCAAACATCTGTGATGATTATTACTGCATTAAACAAACCTTGATAGGAGAAATGTGGAAGTACTCATAAAGGCTGATGGGAGATGTATCAGCAGGAGAAACGTGGTTAAGCTCCGTCTTTATGTACTCTATGTCCTTGTCAAACAGTTCCACCTACAGGAGCACAAACACACAACAAGATGGAGAGCAAAAGTTGAGTTTAACTGCCTGTGAGGGTGTCAGGGTGTGTGTGTGTGTGCATGTGTATGTGGCCGACCTCCTGTTCTGACGTTGGTGTACTGGCATTCACAGGATTAAAGAAGTCCAGGATGGCATACAGGAAGCCCAGATCAAGCTTTAGGTTCATCTCTTGAATCAATACTTTAAAGTACCTGGAGATTAGCAGAACTTTCCTTAGATCATTTTAAAAAAAAACCTTAAACTGAATAAAATGTTCTGCTTGTCAGTAAACAAATGGGATCATTAGAATAAAGTAACCTAAGAAATGGCATCTGCCAATCAGAAACAGAGATAAAAACCAGTCAGTAGCTGAATCATAAAATCAGAAAGCACAGATGTCCATCAACAGGGATAAAAAACACAAACATATTTACTTGATGCGAGAAATATCCGAGTGTCCAGCAGTTCTTGTAACAACACTGATGTCAGTAAGAGGTTTAGGTTCTGTGAGAAGAGGGAAAGAACGATAAGTAAAGTAAATAATGATAAACGGGAACCAGTGCTGATGATACATCCACGGACCTGCATCCATGGTGATCGACTTTGGCAGCTTTACAGGATAAAAAACGTAAGGAAAGATGGCTCCTGGCAGCTGATTCTGGATCTGCAGGAAGAAAACGATGCACTTGAAGAGACAGCCACAGCTCACTAGAACTGGGGATTGTTTAAAAACACATTTACTCATATCGAATTCTTCACAATTCCAGAGGCCGTCTGACTCAAGTTTAAAATAACGAACATTTAAACGTGAGTGTAAACGAATGTTTTCACCTGTATGCGGTGGATTTGGACACGGTAGGTTTTCTGTCGGGATGAGACGCTGTACTCCACCTTCACACCCGGCATGAAGTGCCTCCTTAGCTGAGCATCCACTGGCTGCTGCATGTGCATGTTGGTGCCAGTAGGCGTAAACAACACCTGAGAGGAAAAAAAAAATGTTATTAATCAAAAACATCCTGGCCAAAATACAAATGGTTATCCAACATTAGATAAAAGTTGTGCTGGAACCTGATAATTGTTCTCCAAATCAACAATGGCGTGGTGGACGGGCCCAGACTCCATGTACGTCTTATAACTGCTCTCCAATATCTCCGTTTCATTATTGCTCAAAGTCTTCCATCGATTCTTCTTCTTGGGCTTCAGCTCCCAAACCACATCAGAGCTTCACAGAACCAGAGAGAAAAACAACCTGTTGACTTCATGAAGTCACGGCATCGCTTACAGGTAAAAAGTTGAACACTTTTTCTGACTTATTTCCAACGTTTTGGTTTTTAGGGCATCGCACGGTAAAGATAAGAAGCAGCTGAATCAAACATGCATTAGTTAAAGACAAGGAATAATAGAGCACCTTGTGATTCCAATGAAGGAAACCTCCTGGCTGTTAGTATTGTTAACCAGAGACACGCCCATATTCTGGAGTGACAGGATGACTTCCTGTTCAGCCCACTGCACCTTCTCATTTTCACACAGCAGTCTGTAGATCAGCTGATCCTCAGTGAACAGCACAACACGCTGGAGACCTGCGCATCGACAAGAAAAGAGAAATTCAGTGATGAACACAAGTTTAGACTTGTTTTTGGTGATTCACGTGCCATCTGCTTAGCTTCAAACGGTAGTTTATGTGCGCTTGTTGAAATCAAAATGTTATTTTAGGCAAATATGAAATTTTAAAAAAATTTGAGAAATCTAAAATTTCTAGATTCTTTTAAATTTACCTTCATAAAAAGAAACCACAAATAGTTTTCCTGCTTTCTTCATGTCTTCACGCAAGTCCTAAAGATAGAGAGAAAAACACTGTTGATATGTAAAATCTAAACGACGAGAAGAAGATTTCTGGGAAGAAACAGAATACACAAACATCTTACGCCGGGGACACACCGGCCGCCAAAGCGTCGCGAAAAGGGGGCCGCCTTCATTCGTAGGGCTGTCACGGTAACCGCAAAAATGAAATATCGCAATATGAAGAAACCCACCGCGCTGCATCATGGGCCACCGCGATTACTGAACTTGATTCAACTCAATGATGCATGTTGAGAAGGATGGCTGCGCTGGTATCAAAACGAAACGTTACTTCGCTCCTTTGGGAGCACTTTGGTTTTCAGTACGTCAGCTGCCGCGCAGCCAGAGTCCTTGGCCGAGACAGAGCTGCCACCAGCGGCAAATAAATAAATAAACACTCGGAGACCTGCTGAAGTCCCGGACAAGCACTGCTTCTGCAGCCGTCCCGAAGAGAGTTTGAGCCGAGCTGGAGCTCACTCACTACCTGCAGGAGGAATGCATCCACCCTAAAGAAACCCCCCTGACATGGTGGAGCAACAACCGGGAGAGATTCCCTTTGCTCGCCTGTCGCACGCAGGTACGTGTGCGTTAGTGCAACGAGCGCACCATCCGAGAGGGTTTTCAGTGTTGCTGGAAATGTTGCCACCCCTCTCAGATCCTCTCTCAAACCGTATATGGTTAACATGCTGGTTTTCCTTGTAGGTAACAAGGACGTGACCGAGCTATAAATCACCGTCATTTGTGTATGTTTTTTTTTTTTTTGTATGTGAAAGTGAAAGTGAAATGATGGTGCCCCGTGCCCGGTACATGTAATTTTTTATGCTTGATTTTAAACAACTAAACAAAATGGGGACTTGTTTCTTATTTGTTAAATGCTGCAGCCAAATTTGCATTTAAAAGTTTAACCTTCTCCTGAATTTTGTTGTTTTTAAGTTCAGTCGGACTCCGACTGTCGGAGAAACAAACGTTACTGCGATCTGTGTTGTTACTGCCCTTTGATCTGCATTCAGTAAAGTGTTATAAAAGAAGGCACGGCAATTTTTAACCTTTTTTAAATGTGTAAACATTGTTTAGATAGTACTGCAATAAAAAAAAAGTGCTGCAATAATATCGCACACCGCAATATTAAGCCACCCTGAATCACCACAGGTGGAATTCCTCAACCGCGACAGCCCTATTCATTCGGCGCCCTCGTTATCCTATTCTATAGACCACATGGGCCGCCGAAGCGCCGCGCGCCGGCGCTCCAGCCTGCGCCGTGCAGCGATCGTTTTGGCGTCTGCTCTATTTTTTTTGCGAGCCGCGGGTGGACCGCGTCAATTCTGGCAGGAAGTCAAACCTAGACATAAGAGGCAGGCTGGTAAATTTAACAAAATAAACCATTTCAAAATACAATTCTGCGATAGTCAAATGTGTTCGTAAACATACACTGCATAACCCCCCCCCCCCCCACACACACACACACACAGTGAACTTGTGTGTGTGAGACCACGTGAAGGGGGTGTGGTTTTGGGTGTCTTTCAGCCGGAGCAAACAGGACAGGGAGGCAGAAAGTCGTAGGCCAGCTATTAACAACTGGTTCACACCATAGGTTCACACACACGCGGACAAACACACATATACAGCAAGGGGGAGGGGGGGTGTAGAGGAAAAGAGCAGAGAAAAAGCAGAGAGGAAATGGAGGACACCAAGTGGTTAAAAGAAAAACTACGAGGTGCGCCTCGACCGGAGCGGAGAAACAAGCGTCTGGTCTGAACTGAGGAGCAGCGAGCAGCGGCTGAATTTCGTGAGCGCTTCGCCCCCCGGCGCTTCGGCGGCCGGTGTGTCCCCAACGTTACTTTTACAAACTCAAGTCAAATCCTTCTATGTGACTAATCCAACATCATGAAAGAAAGCTATTTGTATGAATAAGAGCTAAAACACGAACTTTACTAAATATATTACATTTTGGACCTGGGTACAAACAGGATTTGGACGTTAGTGAATTACCTCCTCGGTCTTTAGCTGCCCACTGTAAGAGCCGCACTTCCAGCAAAGCTCTCGAGATCCAGTGGGAAAAGTCCAGGTGTAGTACACAGCTTTCCCAGCTTCCAACTCCTCCAGCTCGGCCTCCTTCTCAGAACTGAACGCACAAAGAACACACGCAAACACTTTAGTTTTAACTGCAGGAGAAACAAACGGAATAACGACGGAAAACAGAGAGCCCGTCCACCAAAAACAGTCAAAAACACTCATCCCTTCAGAGAAAATACACAAAGGTCCCTGCTGTCTTCCCTGCAAAGATAGGCTTTCCATCATTAACTCACACTAACACCGATCTGAGTATACATGGAGATCAAAGTAAAGGAACGCTTGTCGATGCTACAGGAATGCCGGAAACGAGGAGAGACGGGTACCATCTTTGGCTGAATCCCTTCAAGATGGCAGCATTCCAAACAAGCTACTAATGAAGAGAAGTTAAAGAAACCTGTTCCGATAGTTAGAGATGTCTAACCTGCTCCTCTCGGTGGTAAAACCGTAATAAAACCATATTAGGGCAGTGATGTCACCTGTTTTTGTGTGTGTGTGTGTGTGTGTGTGTGTGTGTGTGTGTGTATGTGTGTGTGTGTGTGTGCGCGTGTGTGTGTGCCTTTAAAGAGAGGAGCAGATTACACAAAATAACTAAAGTCTAATAGAAACAGCCTTCTATTAGTTTCTACTCATCATCTCACCACACTCTGATCTCAAAAAAAGAGTTTGGAGACATTGATTCATAAATCATTTGTTGATTTATTTATTTTTCTGTTCTTCCAACTTAAAATGTGAGTTATTTTATAAAGATATTTCAATAATACAGACTCTTTCGTCTTGCTTTCCCATGACCTCCCACCCACCTGTAGATACAGTTGGCTGAGCGCCACACGGGCTGCTCCCGCTGAGGAAACCAGGATCGCAGCTCCCCCTACCGGGTCTCATGTTGTGAACTGTGACGTTCGTGCTTATATGTTGAGGTGTTTTTTTGCATAGTAGAGCTACTCCCTGCTGGGAGTAACTCTGTTCTGCCTTTTTTTCCCTCCCCGAACTCTCCTCGTGTAATCCCCTCTTCATCTATTGAAATGAGCGCCATTATGGCTGCTCTCGTGGTCTGCCTGTATCTGTTCTGTCTGTATGTGTGTGTGTAACCTTGGTCAGGCTGTTCTGTGGAGTCAAGTTCCTATGCTCTGGTTCGCTGGAGCGCTGGCAATAAAATTCTCTCTGATTCTCTGATTCTGATTCTCTTAAAGATATTGTATTTGATTTTTAAGTATCTATTATTCATCTGATATCTAATATTTAATGCGTTTATTTTCTGTCTTGAATATGCTAGATGAACAAATTTTACTTGCACCATCAGAAACAAACTACTTTAAATATACATCATTTTCTTTTTAATCCTCCAACCCTCATCTTGAATTCAGAGCGAGTCAGATGAGTTTCTGCACGTTGTATTTTTCTACCTGTCCTCATTCTGTGAGAAGGAAAGGTCGAGCAACGAGTTAGACACCCATGAGGTTTCTTCCAGGAGCCTGCATGACCCACACAACACACAAACACCATCACCATCAACGGTACGGCTACTCGGGAAATCTGCTGGCTCTACAGACGACGACGAGCTTCAAGTGCTGTAAAAGTAATAGTAAATAAAACTTTCTGCAGCTTCTCTGGCCTCTTGTGCGTGGACCAGCTGTAAAAAAATTCTACCGTGGTAAAAACTCCCAATTTTTTGGTCTCTGCAAGCTTTAAGGGTGATACTAACTTGTAATTTTGGACATTTTTGATCAACAAAAACCAAAATGAAACTATGCACACCCTGGTGGATTAGTGATTAATCGCATCCCATCATGTCAGAATTAAAGCGCTGATCTAAAAACTGTGACTTCAACTTCATCCGTTGGTTTTCTCACCTTTGATGGAACAGAAGAGTGTGATCTTTGGTGTGATTGATGATGAGGAAGGGGGCTGCACCATCATGGTACTCAGAGAAGCGGATTGTGGCCGAGTGCTCGGACAGATTCACGTCTACGATAATCCCACCCATCTGCAACAACAGGATTTATCTGAATAAAACCTGATTGAAGGCTCAGGGTAAAGGAGTGATAACCTGACGCGCCCGTCTGCTCACAGAGTTGTCCAGATGCAGCAGCAGGCAGTTTTCCGGTTGTGTGAAGTGAACGGTCAAAGGAGGAGCTAAACAACCTTCCACTTTGATTTTTATCAGCTTGGTATCGTTCTCCGGCCAGAACGGAACCGCTGACTAAAAAACACCAAACAAAAACAAAACATTTATGCAAACAGCTGAGTCTGCATGGCTAGTGAGTGATGGGTTTAGCTGGGACCTGCTCTGGCTGTGCCTCAGTCCAGTTCTCTTGTCCCTCTTCACAAACGAAGATCCGGTGTTTGGTTCTGTTGACCAGCATGTAAAAGGGCACAAAGGTCACGATGCGGGTGAGACTGAAACTGCTCGCCTCGATCTTCACGCCAACCTGGCAGTGGATGGAAACCACACAACAGATCTTAAAGGTGACAGTTCTAACATACTACCTCGACAGTAACACGAGTCAGTTACTGTGACGGAGAGAAAATAGATCTGATCATAATTCACCGATTAGTTACAAATAAAAAGCTCATTGTTGACAGAGCGGATGAGAGCTTATTTATTGCTCTGTTTTACAATTTACTGATGACACAGGTTACATCATACATCAGATTGCCAGATCTACCTGACTTTGAACAAACCAGGCTCGCTCTCTCTTCTGGACCAATGTTTGGCTGAAGTGAGGGTTTGGCTTGCCAACAATTTCCTTAAGCTGAATGATTCTAAGTCTGAGGCACTCCTCATGACACCTAACAAAACCACACACTTATCTTCTGATTCGGACACTCTCCCATATGACCTCAAGCAGTGTGTTACCAACCTGGGGGTGAAACTGGATACACACTTTTCCATGGGCCCTCAGATTAACGCAGTGGTCAGATCGTGTTTTTACCAGCTGCGCAGACTAGTTCGCTTAAAACCGATCCTGAAACGGGCACACCTGGAATCCGTAATCCATGCTTTTATCACCTCCCGACTGGATTATGCAAATTCCATTTTAATTGGTTTACCTGCCTCCGCTCTTAACAGGCTTCAGGTCGTACAGAACGCACGCGGCAGCCAGGTTTTTAACACCCCTAGAAGAGACCATATCACACCTGTACTGGCACGGCTCCACTGGCTACCCGTAAACTTCAGAGTCAAGTTTAAAATCCTGACTTTTGTTTTTAAGGCCCTGAACGGTCTGGCTCCGGATTACCTGTCTGATCTTGTCACTCGTTATGTGCCAAACTGGGCGTTGAGGTCTGCTGATTGCATGCTGCTTCGTGTTCCATCAATGAAATACAAAACGCGGGGGCAGCGTGCTTTTGTCTACGCTGCTCCGACACTCTGGAATGCTCTTCCTCTTTCAGTGAGGCTGGCACCATCCCTCCTCCGGTTCAAGTCGCTACTTAAGGCTCACTTTTACGACCAGGCATATTTAAATCCCTGACTTTTATTATTTTACTATGTGTCTTTTTATTGACCGTGATTATCTGCCTTGTTGTGTATTTTATTGTTGACCGTGTTTTGTTTTATATTGTGTTTTAACTTTTTATTCTGTACAGCACTTTGGTTGGCTGCCATGCCGTTTTTAAATGTGCTTTATAAATAAAGTTGGTACGGTATCATAAACCACAGTTTGATTCATTCGTTGATCTATTTTTTCCACCACAGTTACTAAAGTCTTTTGAATCCTTTATGCTCCACATAACAGAGTAAATGCCAGAGAATCTGTTAAGTTTCTTCAATCCTTACCAGGTAATCTTTGAATCTGCCTTCACATTTCACATCTCCATGGCTACCAACTGTGTCCAACGAGAACTCCTTTGACAGTTCGCTGTCTGAGATCATGAGACGAACCTGAAGGCAGACAAAAGTTAGAACCCTCTTAGCAACTGTAGCCAAAGTCATAATCGTGTTCCTAGCTAAGCTGCACTGTTTTCTAACAGCCAAGAAAATAAATCTAATCTAGTCAAATTGACAAAAACAAGTGAGATGGAGATCTTCCCTTGCCCTTTGTCCTTTTACCTTATTGTTGTGCAGAAAGTTGCGAGGCTTGAAGGAGAAAAGCAGGGGCATGTGGTAGTCTAGCGGATGTTTACGGTGGATATCGTCAGCCTTGTACTGCAGCAACCTGCCCGTCTTATTCAACATCCAGTACGGTGAATGAATAGCAATAACAGTTTGTCCTGGATCTCTTTTAAAATGGACCGCTATGTCCAACTCAGCCCTCTTCATCTCAGTCATGTCTCCATCTTCTTCATCATCCACTTGTAGAGAGCGGAACACAATGAAGGTGATTTCCTTCTGGTCACTCTGAAGACTGTAAGACAAAAAAATCCATTACTTTATTGAAGATAGTCCCCACATGTAGGTTTAAACAACACACAAAGACAACAGTTCTGAATTCATCAGATGTAGGTTCCACCTGTACTCAGAAGACCAGTCCTGAGCCAAATAATCCACCAGCCGGAGATCAAGACTTGACTGGTCGATGACGGCAGTGTGAAGCTGAGCAGAGTGACCTGGATTCAGAGTAGCTTCAGGGGCAGAAACTCCACTCTCCTGCTAAAAAAAATACCAGTCATGAAAAGATGCATCAGTCTGGAAAACTAAATACCGTAAATCCTCTAATATTGGCCTATTTTCAATTAACGGCCGGGTATCATATTTTGGCCGGTGTCGGATTCGGCGGAGGTGAATAATGGCCGGTTTTTTATTGTGGCCGGGTGGAATGTGGTAACAAGCAAGTACGGGGGGCGGTTGTGTCATCTGTCTCACTTTTGATTTGCCAGTGACAGACCGTGAGGGTAACTTTAAACGTGCGGAGACGAAGAGGAGGCGAAAATTTGATATCAAGTTCAAAGAGAATGTGCTGATTATGCTGCAGAACACTCTGGGGAGCAGTAGCAGGGGTTGTATGAACTAGTCACTAGTCGACTTCACCGCTCTATAGTGACTTTTTATGTCTGTCATCGACTAGTCGCTGTCACGTGATAATGACCGGCAAGATGCAGTCCACGGAAAAGACAGCAGCCTGCTGCCAGCAGGTGACAAGCTCCTGCACGTCAGGAGGCAATGCGCTGTGCCAGAGCGTCGGTACTGACACCCGCCGTAAAACGGACATTTGACCAAATCGTGACCTTTACCCTCTTGTAATTTAACCTTCCCCTCACCCCCATCCTAACCTTAACCAGCTTGCGCATGCAAAGCTCTGATTGTTGACGCGCTCCAGACATCTGCGTCCTGAGCACGGCCACAGTAACATGATCAAATCAGGTGTCGCCACCTCAAAAACTAATTTAACACGCGTTTGTTCATGTCGGCTCATTTCCTTTTATGTTTTCTGTCTTTTATTCTTTTATTTGTGCCTGATGCGTTTCGCTGCTGTGGATTGGGGCGCATCACCTGTTTTGTCCTCGGTGATGTACCTAACTGATGTGGCCGGCGTGCACTCCGCTGTTTTTGCGGTCGGTAGATCTTTTAGAACTGCAGTTCAAAGGTAACTCATGAGGTGAATATATATGAACCCAGGTAGCAGTTGTTCTTTAGGATTGAGAGGAGATGCAGGAAGATAATAAACAGGCAGGACAGAAAAATAGTCAAATAAAAACAAGTTTGTTTTTCTACCTGGTGGTTGCAACAAACAGACACAGGTATATCAGAAGGTATATTTTAATGTTTAGAGCAGCAGGAACTCCGAGAGGCTGCAGGCGCATCAGTGAGTTTGCGGCCGCTGCGCAGGGGGAGGGGGGAGAGGGCTGAAGCAGAAACTACCGTTGTTAAAAGAAATGTTTAACTTTGAAAATGTGGGCGCAATTTTAATTGTCAAAAACTCCAGCGAACCATTAGTTCATTTTGCTCAAACAGAAATTGAGGCCTGCCTCTAATTCTGGTCCTCCTTCCAATAAAGGCCTGGAGCTTGATGAGCTTGAGTCAAATACAGGCCCGGGCCTGTATTAGAGGATTTACGGTTATCTACAAATTGTTGAGTAGAAAAATGTCTCTTTACCCATTAGAGGCTATAAAATAAACAGATTCTGATTTACTTCTACATCACTAAATCTTTTATACAGCTGCCTAGTTGCAACTGGGACTCCTGCATTTTAACAGAACAGTGTTGGATGATGTCATGGTGTTTGGGCCTTCTATTATGCACACTTTGTGACATGCCAACTTCCTTTTATGGGTGTATTAATGAATGATGACCCATCTGAGTGGTTATTACTGCCATTCAAATCCTACCTTTAGTTTGTAAGTGATGGGATAAGGCAGCAGATTGCGTAGCAGCATTGAAGGCCAGAGGTGAAACACAAAGGGAACATCAAAGTGATCCCCAGCACCCCCCGTGTGTTTGAATGCCACTGCATCCTTTACTGGCACTATATTGATTGTCATCACACCACCCTGATCACCACGGCGATGGCAGGTCTGACAGAGGTGCTTGTCGGCCTCTTGGTGACTGATGTCCTCGTAACTGAAGCCCTCTGACACCTCAAACTGCTCATCATCTCCGTCCTCCGTTGTAGGCTGAAGGCTAAGCTCAGACCTGAAGGGGGCAGCATAGTGCAGCGTTTGTGAGTCAAATGCACTCAAGATGGGGCTTCATCAAAAATGTTCCGTTGTTCCAGAAAGAGCAGGGACTGTGGGGTGAAGATCAAGAAGTTCAATCAAAACTGCATAAGCATGCACACGTTTGCACTCACCTATAGGAGTCCAGAGGGACACAGAACTCCTTCGCAGGAAGAGCTTTACCCAGATATGTTGATCCCTCAAACACTTTAAATGGTATGGAGAAATGATTGATAATCTGGAAAACAAAAAAGAGGGAAATTTATTTTTTGGGTCGTGTGGCTTTAAAAAAATAAATAAGGAAAATTCCTTTAAAGGGACTTTACGGAGTTTTTAATTTTTATGCTCGCGATTGCCCCCTCAGGCCAAAAGTGTAACGGCAGCTTCAACAGTAGGCTCATGCACGAGGTGCGTATGCTGTATGTGCACACTCCTTAACGAAAATAACAGCTGAGACCCTTGTGTGTGTGTGTGTGTGTGTGTGTGGCCCGGAGGACAGAGTACAGGAGAACGCGTAGCTAATTAATTAAATAATTTGGTTCTGTATCTTTCTCTTCAGCAAAGCCGACAAAGGTTTATGATGGGTCAGTCTCCCTGCATGCTCAGATCATTCCCTTCCCTTGCTTGAAAAATTGTTCCAAAATGAAAGTTGAACCCACATCTTTTTTATCTGTGAATTCAATGCCGTTCGGCGAGTCTCAAATAAAAATTTGGGCATCTTACTGTAAAAAACATACCATTAATGTAAAAAAGAAACCCTAAATAAACTATGTTCACATCCAGAATCGAACCCAGGTCTTCTGTACGAGAGTCCGACGTCTTACTAGGTGAGCTAAAGCGCCAGTGACGTCCTTTTTTTCTGTAACATTTATATCCTTGATGACAGCTGAAACATCATTCAAAGAACGATTCGGAGCGAAAATGGCTATTTTGTTGCCAATTTGCAGGAAATATCTAAAAGAAAGTTCAACAGAAAGTAGCTAAGGGTCCTCAGAAATGTAGCTAGCTTTGTCACTAGGCGTTAGGAACAGCGACAAAGACTAAAGCTACGGATAGCAAATGCTACGGGCTATGCCTGAGCGTGAACGCGCATGAAGCAGCCTGCTCGACCCAACCAACTCTTTTTCTGTGATTTTACAGAAAAACAGGCAATCACAGTAAAAATGCCAGGGCTCATTCTACAGGACCAGGGCATTGCAGGAGAATGTATGAAGATACATGTTTTGGCTGTCAAACTTCCATAATGCCCCTTTAAATGACTTGGATCAGCTGAATTTTAAAAAAGCATTATAAAAACAGTAAATTAGTGCAACTTTGCATAATTTTCCAAATCAGTGTAAAACTGATATAAATAAAGGACGTTGGTGCAAGACTGCTGATGTACCTGAAAAGGAGAGCGGATCTTGATGTACTTGCTGCCTTCCTCTGAGGATATCTGACACACCAGGAAGCGAGTAACTCCCGAGTCATTGTGCATGACGCTGTATAACCCCCTGCCGACTTTGATCAGCGGGATCGCACTGGCTGAGGTGTGCCCCTCTGGAGCTGAAAACAAGCAGAAAGAGATTTCCGCAGCTGATTAACTTAGTGTAAAAAGAAAAAAAAGTACACTCACTGGGCTTTATGTAGTAGTCTTTTCCACTCAGGGAGATCATAGCTGAGAACTGATCCGAGCCCGGTGTGGATGTGTAGTCCATCTCTAAGGTTTGGCCGTCCTGCAGCGTGACTGTGTGGTTGGTGCTCTGGCTGTGGATGGGACAGAACAGCTCACTGTGACGGACCGATACTGGCAGGCCCAGCAGGTTTTCCACTATAAATGGAGCTTCATCCTTTTGGAAACACTCTGAGGTCTGTTTGGCTGCCTCTGCAAATGCCTAAAAAACAAAACAAAAAAAAACAATGACAATTATCTCTTGTTTACCAAAAATGAGCGCCCTTTATTCCTCCTCTTACCGTTCCCAGGTTACTCAGCATGGTCAGTCCACATTTGGAGAGTGTGATGTTGAGCTTGTCTTTACTGCAGATTACAATCACTGTCTTATAGTCTGGAATACTGTAATCTACTTCATCTGCCAAAGCAGGGGTATTCACAGGCTTCTTCTTCATCTGGTTAAAGAACAGGGACCTCTTAGATAAGCATTTATGTGTATCAATAATAAACCTGAGCCCGTTTGTTTCACAGCACCTTTAACTCCAGAGTCCACGGTTGGAAATTTTCTCCCGTCTGGTCTTCTAAAGGCTCCAGCAGCGGCTCCCACACCCCCAGCATCTCGTTGTAATAGTGAACCTGAAAACAAAACACAAATGAAAAGACCTCACAGTGGGACGGGGAGACAGGTAAAGTAAGAGACAGCTCTGAGGTCAGATACTCCACATGATGTGGTTTTGTTTTCTTACCTCCAGGTTCAGCTCACTCTGCAGGTTAATAAGTGTAGACCAGTTACTCACACCTCCGTTAAAGGAGGACTTGGCCAGAAGCATGGGGACGGTGCGGTGTCCCACACCAGCCTCCAGAGTCAGACAGATGGACTTTATGGACACCTGCAGTGACAGAGAGACATAGAAAAGGGACAGCAGAGCGTGCTTAAGCATCAAACTGAATATAATATTTAAACATACATTTTATGTCCAAATGAGGCTGCGCACCTTTAAGGATTCTCCCTGGGGAATCAGGGGGGTCAAAGACTTTGTGTCTTCATCCCCTTCCTCCTCCAAGAACCAGAGTTTGAGGTCCTTCCAGCTCCGCTTATTCCAAAGATCAACAGGAACAGGACTGTCCTGCTCTTCGGGAGTCTCTGCCGTGGGCGTCAGCGCTGACTGGATGGTCATCACTGTGTTGATGATGACAGGAGACACCTGGGCAGCGACAAACAAACAGCCGTCATACCAACTTTTCATCCCTGAGAACTTTCTTCATTTTAAATCTACTGGAAGCAGTGTTTCCCCAGCTGTGGTGATGGTTGGAGAGGGGGGGGGGGGGGGGGGTAAATTATGACACGTCTCACCTTTATGTTAATATTGTTTTATTTGATGCACTCCACTTTGAACTGCACTAATCCAGCAACTGCTGCATTTTAATAACTAGTATTAAAGGTGAATCCACCAATACTTGCACAAGAATAATTTCTGTTTTAAACTCTCAGTGACACACTTTGCAGGGGGATTTGGCATTTAATTTTTCTTGGCGTCTGGGAAAAACATCTCCTTTTGCCCCCCTTATTTGACTTTCTGCCCCCTTTATTTTGGTCCAAGATCATTACTGGGCTGGCCCCATTAAAAACATTCTACACCCTGCTTAGTAGACTTAATGAAGCATTTTTAAGCCAGTATAAAAATGACTGAAACACAAATTTACATATTTGGCATTATTGACCAATATCTTTGATTTAATTCATTTGTTAAGAACATCAAGATGCATTACAGTGAACATTATAATAAAGTAAAATTTTCTAGTGCAGAGAGGAGACAACCCATAGAAGCACTGATTTGATCTCATTTCAGAGAAAAATAGAACAGGTCAGATGCATCTAATAAATAAAATTACTAACAAACTCAGGAATCTGTTTCTTTGCTTCATTGTTCTGGTGCTGAAAACATCACTAATGCGAATCAAAGGAGATACACAGATGAATGCACCTCTTATTATTTGGAAATTAGTGGGTGTGGTTTACATCAATTCATTATTTTAAATCAGAAATTGACATGGATTGATCAGAAGTTGTTTATTTATAAACTATTGTTTATTTGAAAACTATTTACAGAGCAGCCTCAGAACTGAGATTAAATATTTTTGATCACAATAGTAAAGGAATCTTACAGAACAAGTTTTTCAGTAAAATCAGAACATTAATATTTAAGTGCATGAAGTAATGCATCTGAACCATGATCTGAACTCATGCAGTAGGAACTAGGAAATATGAAATATTAGAACCAGACACAACTTTTTATTTTAATTTTAATTTGATTTAACGGATTTTTTCCTAACGTTGTTGGGATTTTTCCCCACACACAGTTAAACAAAACAATGTTGATTAAGGTGTGTGTGTGTGTGTGTGTGTGTGTGTGTGTGTGTGTGTGTGTGTGTGTGTGTGTGTGTGTGAGTGAGAGAGTGAGAGAGTGAGAGAGTGAGAGAGAGAGAGAGAGAGAGAGAGAGAGAGAGAGAGAGAAGAGAGAAAGAGAGAGAGAGAGAGAGAGAGAGAGAGAGAGAGAGAGAGAGAGAGAGAGAGAGAGAGAGAGAGAGAGAGAGACAGAGAGAGAGACAGAGACAGAGACAGAGACAGAGAGAGAGAGACAGAGACAGAGACAGAGACAGAGACAGAGACAGAGAGAGTGTTAAAATAATTTTAAGAAACCCGGACCGGAGCGGAGGCAGTGACTGACGCATGCACGAGTTGTTTTCAGCTCGGTCATGTCAAATGCACCACGTACGTTGCGAAAAAAGTAACCTTAAATATTGAACTGAAAAAGAGGCGAGCTGATGAAAACGTAGGGAGTTCTGAAGAAACGTGAAGCAAGCACAGAGAGATCTGTTATGTCTGTGTGTGTGTGTGTGTGTGTGTGCGCGCGCGCGTGGATGCCTGGGCCGAGCTGACTGAGCTCCCGGTGCAGAGTTTTGTGTGTAGGGAGGGGCGGGTGCAAAAAAAAAAATAAATTAACAAATAAAAAATTCAATAAAACTTGGGATCTTGTAGGCGTGGCGCTGGGATTTCAGCCGTGGCGGGCCGCCACGGCTATGCCTATGTAAGGGAAACACTGGGAAGACATTTTTAATGGCTCATGCAAACCTGTAAAAGCTTAGATTAGAAATGTTTAATTAAAAATCACAACTCCCATTAAAAACATTTACCTTCAATAACAGAGAGTTGATGGAGACTTCCATGGCCTGAGGGGAAGACGGGGCCTGAGTACTACTAAAGAACACCTGACAAGGATGCAACACAGTGGTCTCGTCGTTTTTCCGCTTCTCTCTTATGAAGGGACACGCTATAACCTACAACCATCAAAACCAGACGTGTTAATAGCATCAATCATGTGTGTTTCCTTTAAACTTTAGTTTCAGAGTTAAATCACAATTAAAATACAAACCTTTAAATCTTTGATGGCAGCTGTCATCAGCGATCCCTCTGCACTGGTTTTCATCACTAGTTCACACTGTGTGGTCATCACCAGCGCCGGTGCGTCAGCACGAGTCAGGTCGGCCACAAACACAATCTCTGGGTTACGCACCAGAACGTTCATCTCAGTCTTTGACACTGAAGCTGGAGCTGCACCTGAGAGCCCCCAAAAGCATCAATTAAATATTTGTTTGTATATCACCAAGCAGCAGGTTTCAATCATCAAAACAAACTTTTAGCCTCTCCAAATAGTTCAAAAACGGTCAAAATATAAAGATTTGACTATGTTCTGGATTCATTAGGTCCAATTTAGCTAAATAAAGATACAATTTTGTAATTGATGATTTAGTTTCAAGTAATACCAACTCACTGGAGTCTTTAGATAAGGCAGATGAGTTCATGTTCTTCTTTTCTCCAGCACCCGTGTTATTTTTGGATTGTTTCTCCTGCGCAAAACCCTCCGCGGTGGCTTTAAGAAAGATGTCAGCCACCGTGTGCAGGAACTCCATGCTGGCACACAGGTACACATCCTGCACCACCGTGTCTAAGGTGGTGCCTTCATGACCCTGACGGTAGTTCACCTCCACCATCATGTTCTGCTCAGCGCCCGGCCGCATCTTCATCATCCTGGAAGAGTGCAAGAAAAGAAGCAGTGTGAGATAATATATTTTCTTATTTCATAAGTAAAACTATTTATGCTCCTCCTTCACACACCGGAACTGCGCTGCTCTGGGTGGCTGCATGTTGGAGTAGCTCTGTTGACTATATGTAAGTTTTGCCTTTTCTTGGACATTTTTTCTTCTAGTTTCTCAAGAAAAACTGTATTTTTTGGACACTTTACTTTTCTGTTTCTGGTGCTGTGAAGCTTGGAGGATTTTTACTGCTATTGTTTTAGCTTTTTTCACTTTTTGAGCATTTGTTATGATGCGTAACCATGGCAACAAGCTGATTTACAATCGGGAGCAGCTGATTAACATTGGAAAGGCTGAAATAAGACCTCAACTGAAGCCACAAATCCCAAATGAGCTAACACGCAAGAAGCGTGGTTGCAGAGCGGGAGCAAAACGGAGACGGAGAAAGAGGAAATTCAAACCATTTCTTCCATCGATCATAATGGGCAATGTGAGATCACTGGCCAACAAGATGGAGGAACTCCAAGCCCTTTCAAGGACTCAGCCAGAGTTTCGGCAGTTTCGGAACCGCTGGAGGAGATAATGCAAAGAAGGATTCTCCAGAGAATCAAGAAAATGATGAACAACCCTGAGCATTCTCTTCACAAGACTGTCCGACAACGGAAGAGTGTCTTCAGTCAGAGGACGGAAGAGTGTCTTCAGTCAGAGGCTTCTTCAGTTTGACTGCAAAACTGACCGCTACTGGAGATCCTTCCTGCCAACAGCCATTGTAATATACAACAACTCTTTGATGACTTGATTATTATTATTATTCTGAGCTACTACAGCAATCAATTTCCCTCTGGGATTAATCACATATTTTTGAATTGAATTCTAGAAGTACAGAAGAAAATAACCGGGTTGTGCTGAAGCAAAACTAAAAGAATCAGAAGTTCTCGTCTCGGACCTCGGGGTGACCATCTTTATTTTTGGTCTCTTGTCATCTAGAAGACACGTGTTGAGTTGAACAGACGCCTTCATGGAGCTGTCAGAGAACATTTGGACAGAGGTGGAGATGGTGCCCAGAGTAAATTCAGCCAGCTTCAGCTGCTCATCGTGCAGGTCTAAGAGTTGAATCTGTTAAACAAAATAAAACACACACATCTCAAATGTTGGATAAAACCTATTAGAGAGTGTCCAAATGCCCGTGCCTGTGTTACCATACCACATTCTCGTTAGGACTGTAAACCACCAGCGTCATGGAGTCAAACTTAAAATCCACCTTGAGTGTCGTCTTTAACTTGCTGTGTTTCTGGGACTCCACTACAGCAGATGTCACCACCGTGTTACCTGCATCAACACCATCATCGCATCAACATCACATTTTCAGATCTAGAAGCTTTCTATGGATTTAGACAATAAATTGTGGTTAAAATTGTAATGTCTGCTAAAGTTATTTAAACATAGACTCACGCTGACGTGCAAGCATAAGTACTTACTGCTAGCAGGTCCGGTGGCTCCAGAGCCCTGGGACTCTCTGTTGGACATTGAGTCAGAGGAGTGATCGGCTGGAGCCAGAGTAGCCGCGGGCTGAACTGCATCAGATTTCTCTGACAGGTTCTCGCTCAGAGTCCTCAGGACTATGATCATGTCATCCTGACAGAGAATCAGCTGACAGGAGCAAAAACAGAAAGTCATAATTAGAACTGTTCAAATAATTTTCAGTTTCTTTCGACAAATAGATAAATCGATTGATCAGTAGATAGGTTGGTAGATAGATCAATAGATCAACAGATGGTTCGATAGATCAACAAATAGATCGATATCACCGCCATACGTTACTACTTACGCTCATCGGCATCAGATGAGCAGTGATTTCTATGTCGGGGATGCTGTGATACCAGTTAGATGAAAGGTTTCTTTGAATTTCCAGGTCTAGACAGACCGGCTTCAGAAGCTGCATCTCTCCTCGAAATTGCCCATCTTTGTAAGTGGTTCTGAAACAAACAACATCCCAACATTCAGAAATAAATCCTAAAACAGAACAACTTGAGCCAGTTCCTCTCTGACCTGAACATCTTGAGGTTGGTGAGTTTCACGGTCATTATATCAACAACAGGCGGGATGGCTGCATCGCTTTTAAAAGGCTTCTTGGCGAAGCGGTTCTTAACGGACAGCCGACCAAGGTCAGCTACGATGACATTTTCTGAGGATGACGACTGAGGGAGGAAGATCACAGGTGCATTGAAGTGAACGCTGAGAGCGATTCTAGAGCTCCGCTCTGCCAGTTCCTTCACACCGGAGGCTGCCTTTTCTGCAGCTTGGACCGTAACCTCAGCCAGAGCTTCTTTAGCCTCCTGGAAATTATTAATAAAAGCCTGGGAGAGGAAGAGAGATGCAGAAATGAACACAAAACAACCCCATGTCCAAACTTTAACATTAGCATATCTGAAAAATCACAAGAATAATGGACTCTTACCAGAATGGAGGAGACAAACTTGTTGAGGAAGATGACTTGAATGCACCCCACTGTCAGTGTGACCGAAGTGTCAACATTAGACATGTCCAGATACTCGTCTCCTTCTGTCGCATCTGTGTAGTTTACCATCCGGAAGGCAAATACCTCCTTGTCAGCAATGGAGACGGCCTGAAAAGAAAAAAACATGACAGAGTGAAGTCAAATAAAGCAACATCAAAACTCTTACATAGGTCCAGATTAGGGGTGAGCGGTATGAACGGTATACGGTAGAAATTATATTAATTTGGCCAACGGTAGAGATTTTGACTATATCGGCCTATCGCGGTAGGGCATGTTGATGACATCATCAAGCTGCGTCTGTTGAGGCTGAAAGCATGGAGCCTGTGGTGGAGGAGGAGGTTCTCGTAAAGAAGACCGGTGCAACATCGGTCATTTGGACTTGGTTTGGCTTTAAGGAGTCGGATGTGGAGCAGAACAATATAATCTGCAAAGTATGCCGGAAGAAAGTATTAGCGAATAGAGGGAATGCATCTAATTTGTTTTACCACCTCAAAACGAAGCACGTTGTGGAATACGAAGAAAGCCAAAAACTGCGTCCTCAACAAACGCCCAGTCAGTCGAGCTGTAAGGAAAAAGGTGGTCTTACACACCAGCAGACGGATATTTTACAAGCATTTGCTAAAGGCACTCAGTATGAGAGAAATAATCAACGGTGGATTGATATTACAAATACAATTACCACGTACCTGTGTAAGGACATGGTGCCGTTTCTTACAGTGGAGAAAAGCGGCTTTCGGGACATGATTAAGACGCTCGGTCCACGTTACGAGGTACCGAGCCGCAAACACTTCAGCCAGAGATGCCAAAACTGTACGAGAAAGTCTGCGAGCAAGTAAAGCAGCTGCTGCAATGTATCTGGTATGTGAGTATGTTTAGAAACTGTCATTTTTGACGTTTATACAAAAGAAAGTCATATATCGCAATATATACCGTTACCGCACATTTTTCATATTACATCGCAATATAGATTTTAGGCTATATCGCCCACCCCTAGTCCAGATTATGATCATTAATGAAAAAAAGTACCAGAACACATTAAAATGACAGTTTTAAGTTGTACCTTCTTATACAAGGCATCTTTGTTGCAGTCTAAAATCACAATGTTCTTCAGGTTGGCTTGGACCTCCATGTTCTTCTTCCTCATCAGGACCTCAGAAACCAGACCTGCAGGGACAGGATTTGTTTAGGTCTTATTTTTGGAGAGGTATGAATTCACTACCTCTTTGCACGATTCTGATTTTGTGATGCTTCTAGTTTTCTAATCAACTCTTCTACTTTAAGTCTGGGTCCACCAATATCTAAAGTTCTCCGAGATGATGTTTCTTCAAAAGCGTATGCTGCTAATGTAAAGAGAAGTGTGATCCATTCCATCCATACCTTCAATACTGATTTCTGAAATTCTGGCTTTCTGTCCTCGAATGAAAACTTTCAAGCAGCGCAGATCAGCTCTGATGTGCAGATTCACCACATCTGCATACTTGGAACGTTTTGGAGCTGCCAGAAGACCACAACAGGAGATGAGAAGCAGACTTTTAAACCAATAAGACCTCTGGAGAGAAACTCCACTGTGCAAAACAATTGTAAGTATGCTAAAATGATTGTGTGCAGCGTGATGAGTCACTCTTTTTCTTGGTTACAGCAGTTTCCTCCTTCTTTTCTCCTTCCCTCTCTGCCTCTGCCTCATCTTCCTCTGGGATGGCGGGAAGCTCTTCGGGCCCTCCTTCCTTCTTAGTTGTTGGAGGAAGAAGATTATTGAGGAAGTTCATGGCATTAAGGAGAGCCTCCGTGTGAAGATGGACATCCAGGGATGAGAAGGTCGCCTGATGAAAAAAATAAAAAGTTTATCAATAAAATATCATTACAGAGCAAATGTAAAACTGCTAAATGTTGTGTTTTAGTCCCGAAAGCAAGGGTTCTCGCACCTTGATCAGCTGCTCTGTGTTGCTGTGTTGGGTTTTAAACTCAGGACCGTTTTTGTCAGCCTGAAAAAACAGTCAATGTAAAATCAGTAGGTGATTCAACGCAAATATTTAAACCGAAAATAATGGATAAAGTTTGATTTCAACAAAGAATAATGAGTACTTTAATATATTCCAAAGTGAGGAGGTCATCTTTTTTATTGTCTAAAGTGGTGATCAGCTGAACCTGCTTATCCTCAGAATCTGCAAAGGTATGAAACAAACACAGGAATAAAAATGGGAACCAGATGAGCCATGAGCTAAAGCCATGCTGGTATCTACTGACCCATATATTCAGGACACTTCAGGCAGATCTCTCGCAGGTAGGTGTTGGACGACATGCTGAAAGTGCACAACTTCAGCTCGGTGCCGAGGCCTTCTATGTCCAGGTGGAGGACGGTAACCTCTAGACCGTCTGACATACGACACAACTGAACAGAACACTGAACAGAGAGAAGGACAAAGAAATGTACAGAGTACTTCATGTTCATTTTTTATTATTAATTGTTCATGTTTTAATAACAATAAAACTAGATTATTCCAGATTACAGTTATGCAAAACTAATTTGTTTATATACAAAAAAAAAAAAAAGAGTATGGGGTGGGTGGCTTTCTGTTAAAGGCCATTCAGTCCCTTTACCAGAGGAGCGTGAGTTTGGTCCGCATAGCCGGCAGTAAGTCGGACCTGGACTCCGCCAGGGCTGCCCTTTGTCATCGGTTCTGTTCATTACCTTTATGGACAGAATTTCTAGACGCAGCCGTGGTGTGGAGTGTGTCGAGTTTGGTGGCAGGAGAATCTCGTCTCTGCTTTTTGGAGATGATGTGGTCCTCCTAGCTTCATCCAGCTCTGACCTTCAGCTCTTGCTGGGTAGGTTCGCGGCCGAGTGTGAAGCGGCTGGGATGAGGATCAGCACCTCCAAATCTGAGACCATGGTTCTCGACCGGAAAAGGGTGGCTTGCCAACTCCGGGTCGGGGGAGAGGTCCTACCTCAAGTGGAGGAGTTTAAGTATCTCGGGGTCTTGTTCACGAGTGAGGGTAGGAGGGATCGGGAGATCGACAGGTGAATTGGTTCGGCGTCTGCAGTGATGCGGACGCTGAGCCGATCTGTCGTGGGGAAGAGGGAGCTGAGCCAGAAAGCCAGGCTCTCGATTTACCGGTCGATCTACATCCCAATCTTCACCTATGGTCATGAGCTTTGGGTAATGACCGAAAGAACGAGATCGCGGATACAAGCGGCCAAAATGAGTTTCCTCCGTAGGGTGGCCGGGCTCAGCCTTAGAGATAGGGTGAGGAGCTCGGACATTCGGGAGGGACTCGGAGTAGAACCGCTGCTCCTCCGGATCGAAAGGAGTCAGTTGAGGTGGTTTGGGCATCTGGTCAGGACGCCTCCCTGGGGAGGTGTGTCGGGCATGTCCTGCCGGCAGGAGGCCCCCGGGTCGACCCAGGACACGTTGGAGAGGTTACATCTCCAATCTGGTCCGGGAACGCCTTGGGGTCCTGCCGGAGGAGCTGGTGGAGAAGGCCGGGGAGAGGACGGTCTGGAGCTCCCTAGTTGGGATGCTGCCCCCGCGACCCGTATAAGCGGAGGAAGATGACGACGACAAAAAAAAAAAAAAGTTCAGCATTACATATCTAGAAATGAAGGAAAATGGGCTCATTTACAGTCAATTTTTGAATAGATATTGAGTTTTGTCCGCACCTTTTTCCTAGTTTTTCATTTCGACCCAGTGTAACTATGAGTCTGATGCTCCTGCTCTAGTGCGTAGCATCAGCTGATGCTAGTTAGTACTGTGTTGGATTGCAACATCCCTGTTAAATAACCGATTTTAAAGATTACACTTAAAGGTCTTACTTTACCTCACTGATCTCAAACTCTAGATTGAAGTCAATCATGTTCTTCTTAGTGTCTTCTTTGATAAGAGCTTGTCTTTTGCTTAAATCTGCATAGCGCAGAGGCATGGGGTTGTCTGGGAAGAAAGGTTTATCTCCGATGGGAGAACTGGGAGCGTCAAAAAACAAATCGTCCTCTGAACCTGTGAGGAAAAAAAAAACACACACACACTTTTAATTCCAGTCAAGAGCATTGGTTTTATAGACGTTGTATTTCCAGGATGTAAAACAGTGTCTCACCAAGTGAGGAGATGCTGACGGTCTCACAGGATTCAAACATGAGAGAAGAGCGCTGGTCGGCTAAATTCAGTGGTCTTCTAGGGGTGAGCTGAGGGGTGAACGACTGTCGTGTCTGAAAAGATTAAACAGATTTAAAATGTGGCCATAAGGAAAAAAGGGAGTTTCGCTTTTACCTTTGGGGCTGAAGTGTTGCGTGCTGCAGGTTTGCTCTCAGGCAGGGGGATACTTTCTACCAGCTCCAGAACACTCCGAAGTTTAGTATCGGATATTCGGAGGGACAGCAGAGGAAGTTTTCCAGACATCTTGTACCTGAAACGCAATGAGCCACACAGACCGTGTCAGTAATCACTCCTTATTCCTCCTGAGCGTGACCCATTAGAACACTGCATACTTACTTTGGCATGCGGGAGTCGGTAACTACCATGGCTCGACTGAAAACCACTTGCAGATCCACGGGCTCCAGGATGTGAAGTGGTGACCTTTTCTCTTTGCGAGCCTTTTTCCAGTCGACATCTATAAATATAAGAGTTTCAAATTTTCACAAATAAATATTTTAGAAAAAAGTCAATTTGTGAACAAGCTTAAAGATTCCTTAAACAGCAAACCGGCTTTGGGATAGAATCGTGTTAAATGTCTACCGTCAAACCCTTAGCAGCAATTATATTATTTTTATTATATCGAATATTAATTATTTTTAAATGATTCTGATCTCAATCATGAAATTAGAAAACAAACAAACAGTTTTCCTGTTAAGGTTTTGTGTGGTTCCTACCTGGTTTACTGTAAAGAAACTGCAGGCTGCTAAGCTGAACATCAAAGCTGTCGTATGCTCTGGACATGATGTCTTCAATGTTGCTGGAACCCACCGAGAGCTGCGGCAGATTCTTCTTGCTTTTACTGGACATCTGAAAAAACCAAAATGGCGGTGTCTCTAAATGGAAACTTTCAACGATTGATTTTAAAGGGACTTTATGGACTTTTGAATCTTTATGCTGGCGATTGCCCCCTCAGGCCAAAAGCGTAACGGCAGCTTCAATAGTAGGCTCGTGCACGAGGCACGCATGCTGTACGTGCACACTCCTTAACGAAAATAACAGCTGAGACAGTCCCGCCCGCCCGCCCGCCCGCCCGCGAGTGAGTGAGTGAGTGAGTGAGTGAGTGAGTGAGTGAGTGAGTGAGTGAGTGAGTGAGTGAGTGAGTGAGTGAGTGAGTGAGTGAGTGAGTGAGTGAGTGAGTGAGTGAGTGAGTGAGTGAGTGAGTGAGTGAGTGAGTGAGTGAGTGAGTGAGTGAGTGAGTGAGTGAGTGAGTGAGTGAGTGAGTGAGTGAGTGAGTGTGTGTGTGTGTGTGTGTGTGTGTGTGTGTGTGTGTGTGTGTGTGTGTGTGTGTGTGTGTGTGTGTGTGTGTGTGTGTGTGTGTGTGTGTGTGTGTGTGTGTGTGTGTGTGTGTGTGTGTGTGTGTGTGTGTGTGTGTGTGTGTGTGTGTCTGTGAATTCAATGCCGTTCGGCAAGTCTCAAATAAAAATTTGGGCATCTTACTGTAAAAAATATACCATTAATGTAAAAAAGAAACTCTAAATGAACGATGTTCACACCTAGAATCAAACCCGGGTCTTCTGCATGGGAGTCAGACATCTCTTACAAGGTGAGCTACACTCTAGTAGCATTCACACTCTCTGTAACTTTTATATCCTTGATGACACCTGAAACAACATCAAACCAAAGAACGGTTTGAAGCGAAAATGACTATTTTGTTGCTAATTTGCAGGAAATATCTAGAAGAAAGTTCTACAGAAAGTAGCTAAGGGTCCTCAGAAATGTAGCTAGGTTCATCACTAGGCGTTAGGAACAGCGACAAAGTTGCTGAGTTGGCACTACCTCACTCTCTGCTGCTAAAGCTACAGATAGCAAATGCTACGGACTATGCCTGAGCGTGAACGCGCATGAAGCAGCCTGCTCGACCCGAGCATCTCTCTTCTTCTGTGATTTTACAGAAAAACAGGCAATCACAGTAAAAATGCCAGGGCTCATTCTACAGGACCAGGGCATTGCAGGAGAATGTATGAAGAAGAAATTTATTATTTCTATACATGTTTTGGCTGTCAAACTTCCTTATGGTCCCTTTAAGTCTTTGGAATACAGTACAAGTAATCCAACAAGCCCCAAAGCAAGGCCAGGTGATGATGGGAGGCTTGGGCTCTGATTCTACCAACTAAGGATTTACATGACAAACTTTCTGACCTTGAAATGACCAAGATCCAACAGCAAGATGTTCTGAGTCCCGTTGTAAAAGCCGCGTTGAGGGATTATGATGTAAGAGGCCATCAGGTTCAGCTTCAGGTCGAGGACTTTCTGTGTTTCGATCACATATAGCAACCCTGAAAAACAAAACTGCTTTTAGATAACACTCATTGCTTTAAAGTCAGAGTGTGCAACATTTTTCCTTGTTTACCATCAAATTCTGTGCATCATGTTTACAAACTTGTCCTTTTTCATTATTAATTCTCACCAAAGACTTTTCTAAATATTCCTATTAGCTTTAAATTTTACATTTTATAAACAGAAGCTGTGATTGACGCGCCACAGTCGAGCACCATCTTGAAATACCGTAGCCGTTTAGTAGGGCCTGCACGACTTTATTTTTTTTAAAGTCGACAGTCAAGTAATGAAAGTCGAGTCGACTTCGACTAGTCGTTGATGATGTCACACGCCGGAAGCGGGGGGGGGGGGGGGGGGGGGGGGGTCGGTCGGTAGGTTCGCTGGAGTTTTTGACAATTAAAATTGCGCCCACATTTTCTAAGTTAACACATCTCTTTTAACAACGGTAGTTTCTGCTTCCTACTTCAGCCCTCTCCCCCCTCCCCCTGCACAGCAGCCGCAAACTCACTGATGCGCCTGCAGCCTTTCCTGCTGCTCTAAACATTAAAATAATTATTTCATTTTCTGTTCCTCACTTCTGATTACCTTCAGTGGTGTCTGTTTGTTGCAACCAGCAGGTACAAAAACTAACTTGTTTTTATTTGACTATTTTTCTGTCCTGTCTGTTTATTATCTTCCTGCATCTCCTCTCAATCCTAAAGAAAAACCGCTACCTGCGTTCATATATATTCACCTTATGAGTTACCTTTGAACTGCAGTTCTAAAAGATCTACCGACCGCAAAAACAGCGGAGTGCCGCTGCTTGCCGGCCGACTACAACGGGACCGTTTTTGCTGCGGAGTTCATGCCGGAGCGGAGCGGAGTGGAGATAATGGAATCTTGGGGGTGTGTCACCGTAGGACAACAGGTGATGCGCCTCGCTCCGCAGCAGCGAAATGCATCAGGCACAAATAACAGACAGAAAACATGAAAGGAAATGAGCCGACATGAACGATCGCGTGTTTAATTTGTTTTTGAGGTGGTGGCACCTGATTTGGCGGTGCTCAGGACGCAATGTCTGGAGCGCGTCAACGATCAGAGCTTTGCATGCACAAACTGGTTAAGATTAGGATGGGGGTGAGGGAAGGTTAAATTGCAAGAGGGAAAATGTCACAGTTTGGTTAAATATCCGTTTTACCGCCGGTGTCAGTACCGCACAGCGCGTCGCCTCCGCCTCGATCCAGACGCGCAGGGGCTCATCACCTGCTGTCTTTTCCGAGGACTGCATCTTGTCAGTCATTATCACGTGACAGCGACTAGTTGATGACAGGCATAAAAAGTCACTACAGAGCCGTGAAGTCGACTAGTCGACTAGTTCGTACAACCCCTACCGTTTAGGGACATTCAAGATATAATGCTACGCGTGTTCTCCTTCTGTTCCTCCACCCTTCATGCACTCGCCACCTCTAAACCCAAGTTTCCCATCATTTTCCTCCACGAATAAAACATTTGCTGCATATCGTTTTGCTCCTTAAGTCGCGGGTGAATCAATGTTCATGTTTTCAGTTTTTCCGTGAGGTATTTTTAAAGTTGCTCCGATTGCCACTAGATATTTTCGGCTCTCTCTTTATTTATTTATTTATTTTTTGAGGGGTGGCTTTCATTGACAAATTTAAAACAAGCGGCATCCTGGCCAATCACAAGCTTGCACTCAATGTTTGGAAAAGTGGGCTCTTCTCTGTTCGTCCTTGCGTGCCTGTTGGAGAGCCCTCACTACGATGGATAATGGTGTTGCGTGTCTCCGTACCGACGCAGACTGAGAAGTATAATTTAGGTTTTAGGCGCAGCAGACGCAATGCACACGGCAGCACTGGAGCGAGAAGACAGCAGCTGCTGCAAATGACTGATCAGGCCACGGACAGAGGACGCTCTAATCCATGCAGGAAGCAGCAGAAACAGTAAGTAAAACTTGCAAACAGTTGAAAGCTGTGGGGCCTTTTTGATGCGTGTGGGCTACTGTGGATGCAATAACTACTCTGACCGGAGTGGCGCTAATGAGTCGAATATTTTTACACACTGGGACTTTAATTAATAACTGCAAAAAATATTGCCCATGCTATGGCTTCAGTGACATAAACACGATTATTTTCCTTATGACACTAAGATAAAATAACCATATTTAGGTAATTAAACAACGTTACACAAAACAGGGAAGCCAAGTGCTGTTTTGGGTTCTTATTTTACACTTTGTGTTTTTACCAAACATTCATAAAAATAACACACAAACACCCAAATTGCAATCACATATTTGTAAAAAGGCCGATGTAAATACTGCATGACTTTAAATGAGTGGGATGGTTTCGGTTACATTATTTAAAGTTTATTTCATAAATTTTGATGAAACACAACTCAAGTCTAATTTACCTACTACCAATTGCAATCTAATAACATGATTCATGTAATTTTCTGAAAATACTAAAATGGGTTAAAAGGCATAAGGCCACGTATACACGTAGCCATTTTATTTTAATCCTCACCCACCCATCTGGAAAAAAAAACACTTGGGTCCACACCACCTCGTTTTTCAGCAAAACTATCCAGGGCCTTAAAGAAGCTAATTCAAGCATGCCTGGTTAAAAAAATAAACATTTTAGGTTTAATAGGTCATGACAACTCTGAGAGGCGAATTTTTTGTAACTCATTTGTTTTGATGTAAATTAAGCTTGAAATGATTAATTATTAGGGGTGTGTCCTTTTGATTGACAGGTAGCAGATGAACCGTTAGCGCTAGCAGCTTCAGGGAAGGCCTCAGCCATGGCATCGTGTTACGTGTTACATGCTAGAGGGTAGAGGGTAGCAGAGTCGCTCAACCACGGTTTTATGTCCAAAAGCACCTGCTAACCTCTGTTAGCTTTGGTTAGCTCAGTTAGCTCATCGCTACATAGGCTCAGAGTTAGATGGGTGTCAATCCCCCCCCCCCAAAACTTTCGGCTCCATTTTTGTATTTTCAGGGAGTAATGAGACACGTGACATGGTCAAGATGGCGGTGGTGGGAACCACCTGCTGGACTCCAATGCATCTCTTCCGAAACATACGGGTGATGGTGGAGAGAGCAATTGGAGCACATGTGTCCGTGGGAATTAGAAAATCTCCACTGTGGTTTGAGGTTTTTGTAAGAATTGCTTTTGGTGACGATGATCTTTACTTTTATCTGGACGACTGGTCAAACCATGGAAAAATGTCTTCATTGTGTGGGATACCCAGCTACGTGTGCAAACACTGTTCAGGATGTCATTACACATTTAAAAGAAGGAATGTAAACATTTGCTCATCGGAGACTTGAGCCTTGAGCCGATGGCGTGGGTCTGCTGTTGTTCATGTGTGAAGCTCACCGGTGGCTGTGCGGTCTCTGAACTGCTCCAGCTTCATCAGGGTTGCATTGGTGAGCTCATCTAGCTGCAGGTTGTCAGGCGGACGGAAAAACGCCGACATGCTGTTTACCGTTATCTACACAGACCAAACACACTTTATAAACACTGTTTCTATTTTATTTACACAAACACACACAGCGACACACATCACTCACTGCATCGTAGATGATTTCCAGCGGTTGTGATTCTACATGCAGCCGCTGGTTTGCGCTCTCGTCCAGCGGGTTGGTCTCAAACAGGATGCACAGCAGCGGGGTTCCTGCTCCTGTGGCTGCCTTCCTGGATGACAGGAGGGTTGGTGCGGGTCTGTCAGCGGCCAGACCGGTGACTTCGAACAAACTGAGCTGGGCTGTGATTCTGACAGGGGAAAAAACAACTGAATATCAGTGACATCTTAAGGAGGCAATGTATTAAAAGGTAAAAATCCGTATAACTGGTTGAAAAAGTTGAGACGTTGGAAATATCCTAAATTTGCAGAAAACACACATTATTAACACAACAGTTATTCTAAACACAAATATTTGACAGACTTGATGGCCTGAGCTCCTGGTCTCTGAGTGAGCGTTGACTTGAGCTCCCCAACAGTCAGCCTGATGATTTCATTTTTGTCCTTGTTGTCTTTGATGGACACAGAGAGCTTTTCCATGTGGAAATTCACCTTCATGTCTTCAAACTAAAAGTAAATAAATAATCAAATATAACATTAATCTGCACAAATGATGCATTAGTTGTATAGTAGCAGCCAAACAGGAGCACAGATGCGTGGGAGGAACACGACTCACTTTCTTTGGCAGGTTGGGATTAGCAGCAGTTTCACTGTATCCGATGGCAGTGTAGAGCTTGGCTTTTTCAGCGGGGGTTAAAAATTCATCAAAACCTGAGACACAGGGATGGTGCAAAGGGGAAAATGGTGTAAAGAACTGGCGTTGAAAACATGCTGCTGAACTTTGACTTCATCACACACAAGTGCTCTTATTGAGACAATTTTTCCCATGTCAATAAATTTGATAATAAAAAAATGAAAAGATGTGTGTAGGTTGTAGGGTTGTCACGGTAACCGGTGTAGCGGTAAACCTCGGTAAAAAAGTTGACAATAATAATAACCGTCTTGTTTTTTTTAAACTATATTATCTCGGTGGATTATCGTGGCTGCGGTGTAGGCGCGGTGACCCTTACCAGCCACCGTATCATCTGCTGAAGTTGCCGGCGGCACATGCACGCTTTGTTGTTTACGGCCAAAACTTTCTTGAAGCTAAAGCTGAAATAATGGCCAGAGGAGACGGCAGCGCTCAGGACATTTATTATCCCTCAAAGAAGACAAAGTGGGAAGTACGGGCATTTTTTGGATATTTGAAGAATGCCGAGGGACAGCTGATAGAAGACGGCTATCCTGTTTGCAGCACGTGCAGAAAAAGTGTCTGTGAAAGGCAGCAACGCTTCAAATCTCATGACACATCTGCGTGACCATCACCCACAACTCTACAGTCAACACAAGGCAAGCTAACATTAGCGCTTTAGCTAAAATGCATGATCCGAGGATTTGGGTTGAGGGAGAATGCAATGAGTCGCTATATAAAGCAGCCGCAGCACCGCTACCTGCATATAAACCGTGTCGTGGACACCTCCATGTTGAAATGACGCTATGCATTACGGGGCTCCCAGGGGCAGATAAGAGTTGGTCTCTCTCTGAGAATAATTATGAATTTAACAATGATTACTGTTACACTTCTTTATGGTCTCCCCAACAAACTCCTTCATAAACTGCAACTGGTCCAGAATTCAGCAGCCCGTATTATCACCAGAACCCCTTCCTTTCACCACATCACACCGGTTCTCCAGCAGCTTCACTGGCTCCCAGTTAAATTCAGGTCCATCTTCAAAATTCTCCTTCATACCTTCAAAGCAATCCACAACCTCTCTCCTCCATATATCTCAGACCTTAAAAGTATTCACACCCCGTCCCGTTCACTCAGATCTTCTTCTTCCATCCATCTTGCGGTTCCTTCTTCCCGCCTCGCTACCATGGGGAGCAGAGCTTTCAGCCGCTCTGCTCCTCGACTCTGGAACTCACTTCCCCCAGACATCAGGAACGTCGACAGTTTTACCCTTTTCAAAACAAAACTCAAAACACATATGTTTAAATCTGCCTATAACCTCTGATTTTATTGAACTGTTTCTCTCTTTGTTTTTTCTTCTTTGGGTTTTATTATTGTTTTATTGTATTTTATTACGTGTTTTGTGTAAAGTGACCTTGGGTGTCCTGAAAGGCGCTTTTAAATAAAATGTATTATTATTATTATTATTACTGCCTGATGACATTTTCCCAAATCTGCAAATCTCACTGGAACACAAACCGAGGACAATATTTCCTGATATAGGGTTTAGTACTCAAGTAAGGGTAAAAAAGTATCTGATTAGAAGGCTACTTGAGTACTGAGTATCATCTGATCTAATATTTTTAAAATGATGACATCAAACAGACAAAAATAAGAAGTTATGGGCAAATATTGGTATTTCTTAGGTGTGTTCTTGCTGTGTCTTTGTAAATCCATGCTTTTCGTTCTTTTTTAAACACAGAAACAGTTTTGTTTACCTGTTTGTAGCTACGGTTTCGCCGACAGCTGCCGGCTTCTTCAGGCTGACGCTGATGGTGGCGCGTCACTTCCTTCTCCGTTTATCTGCGGGCAGCAGAGGACGTTGTCGCCCTCTACTGCCCGCTCTCCCCTCTCCGACGATGCAGTCCCATGCGTGGTCCAGCGTGTAAACTCCGTCGTCCCTGTTCATGGTCCCACATCCACGTCTCCTTATCTCTATCGCTTCCTTGATCCATCTTTTGTATTTTTGTTGTTCAGTGGTTATGATCCGTGTGCTGTCCCAGTCCATTATATGGTTTTCTCTTAAGCAATGATCTGTTACGGCTGACTTTTTTATTGTACTTTCTGCTTCTTCTTTTGCTGCTCTTGTGTGTTTACGATTTGCCTCTTTCTCGCACTCCTTTCTGTGTTCTATTGTCCGTGTATTGAGTTGGCGTCCGGTTTCTCCTATGTATGTTTTATTGCATATTTTGCATGGGATTTCGTAGATGACTCCACATTTTTGTCCAGCTGATATTTTGTCTTTTGGGTGTACTAGTCTGTTTCTAACTGTTGTGTATGGCTTTGTCGGTGTGTTTATGTTGTGTTTTTTCATTGTTGCTCTTATTTTTTCTGTTATGCCTCTGATGTATGGTAGGGTTATCACTGGTTTTGGTTCTTGTCTTTCTGGGTTTCTGGTTCTTTTTTTGGGTTGTTCTTTGCTTTCTGTTTTTGTTTGTTGTTTTCCTTTGTTTATTGCCCATGTCGGGTATCTGCAGGTCTTTAAAGCGTGTTGTATGTGTTTGTCCTCTTGTTTACGGTCTCTCTCTTCTGTTATTATGTTTGCTCGGTGATATAATGTTCTGATTACTGACATTTTGTGTATGGTGGGGTGTTCTGATGTCCATAATAAATATTGGTCTGTGTGTGTTGGTTTCCTGTATGTGTTTATGTTTAGGGTCCCGTCGGTCTGCCTGGTGATTTTCATGTCCATAAATGCTATGCTGCCTTCTGTTTCTGACTCATAAGTGAATTTTATGTTGCCCGTGTCGTCAATATTGTTTAAGTGTTGTGTTAGTGTTTCTGTTTGACCTTTTGGTATGATTTCCAGTATGTCGTCTACGTAATGTTTCCATAGTTTTATTTTGCAGTTTGGGGGGGCGGTGGCTATGGCTTTTTGTTCCAGGTCTTCCATGAAAAACTCGCACAGGGTGGCTGATAACGGGTTACCCATGGCGAAGCCTTCCAGTTGTTTGTATATTGTGTTGTCGTATGTGAAGTAAGTGGAGTTAGCTACCAGTCCTATCAGTTGTGCTATGTCATCTGCTGTGAGGTTTGTCCTTTTATGTAAAGTTTTGTCTTGTCTGATTCTGTTAACTACTATGTCTATGGTTTTTTTGGGTTGGTGTTTTTGTGAACAGAGATGTGACGTCATGTGAGATGAGTATGTCGTTGTCTTCTATTGTAATTTCCTTTAGTTCTTTTGCCAATTCTATGCTATTTTTGCAGTGTTGGTCTGTATTTCCTAATAACGGGCTGATGATTCTGCTGATATCTTTTGCCATGTTGTATGTTGGTGTACCTATGCTGTCTACTATTGGTCTAAGTGGGGTGTTCTGTTTATGTATTTTTGGTGTTCCATATATTCTTGGTGTTATGTTTGCTGTAGGAATCCAGTGTTTGTACATTTTTTCTGTTATTTTGCCTTTTTCGTGCAGTGGCTTCAGTAATTTTTTCATGTTTTTCTTAATGTTTTCTGTTGGATCTTTTTTAAGTATTTCATATGTATTTTTGTCTTCTAGCATCTGTTTCATCTGTTGTTTATATTTTTCTCTGTCCATGTCTTTTTCATGGAAGACCTGGAACAAAAAGCCATAGCCACCGCCCCCCCAAACTGCAAAATAAAACTATGGAAACGCTACGTAGACGACTTACTGGAAATCATACCGAAAGGTCAAACAGAAACACTAACACAACACTTAAACAATATTGACGACACGGGCAACATAAAATTCACTTATGAGTTAGAAACAGAAGGCAGCATAGCATTTATGGACATGAAAATCACCAGGCAGACCGACGGGACCCTAAACATAAACACATACAGGAAACCAACACACACAGACCAATATTTATTATGGACATCAGAACACCCCACCATACACAAAATGTCAGTAATCAGAACATTATATCACCGAGCAAACATAATAACAGAAGAGAGAGACCGTAAACAAGAGGACAAACACATACAACACGCTTTAAAGACCTGCAGATACCCGACATGGGCAATAAACAAAGGAAAACAACAAACAAAAACAGAAAGCAAAGAACCAGAAACCCAGAAAGACAAGAACCAAAACCAGTGATAACCCTACCATACATCAGAGGCATAACGGAAAAAATAAGAGCAACAATGAAAAAACACAACATAAACACACCGACAAAGCCATACACAACAGTTAGAAACAGACTAGTACACCCAAAAGACAAAATATCAGCTGGACAAAAATGTGGAGTCATCTACGAAATCCCATGCAAACTCTGCAATAAAACATACATAGGAGAAACCGGACGCCAACTCAATACACGGACAATAGAACACAGAAAGGAGTGCGAGAAAGAGGCAAATCGTAAACACACAAGAGCAGCAAAAGAAGAAGCAGAAAGTACAATAAAAAAGTCAGCCGTAACAGATCATTGCTTAAGAGAAAACCACATAATGGACTGGGACAGCACACGGATCATAACCACTGAACAACAAAAATACAAAAGATGGATCAAGGAAGCGATAGAGATAAGGAGACGTGGATGTGGGACCATGAACAGGGACGACGGAGTTTACACGCTGGACCACGCATGGGACTGCATCGTCGGAGAGGGGAGAGCGGGCAGTAGAGGGCGACAACGTCCTCTGCTGCCCGCAGATAAACGGAGAAGGAAGTGACGCGCCACCATCAGCGTCAGCCTGAAGAAGCCGGCAGCTGTCGGCGAAACCGTAGCTACAAACAGGTAAACAAAACTGTTTCTGTGTTTAAAAAAGAACGAAAAGCATGGAAATATTGGTATTTTAAAGACTACAGGGGGAAAATGTAAACAAATAAACAACATAATTATAAAATAACAAATTTTAGGCTAAATGTAGACACAAACTGAGGACAATATTTTCCTGATATACAGGGTTTATTTAGTCATCTGAAAATGTAACACGTTTAAAAAAATACCACGATAATACCGAAAACCGTGGTAATTTTGGTCACAATAACCGTGAGGTTAAATTTTCACACCGTGACAACCCTAGTAGGTTGGCAACATTCATCTCCCTTTAAGAAGCTGCACCACCTTGAGTCACGTAAAAATGTGACTCACGATAACTACAGGTGTGTGCAGTGGGGATGTCACATGTATTACCTCCATTTATAGTTATGGAGGTGAAATCCCCAATATATCTTGATATTCATTTTTGGCCACATTGCCCAGTCCTATCACACAGCGTCACGTTCTCAGGCTCATGCTTTATTGATTTCTAGTTTTAGAAACTTACTTCCAGTCTTGGTCTCTTTTGTTTGTGTTTCAGCTTCTCCTCCCCAGCTCCACATCCAGCCAAACCAACCCTGAGACTGCTCCTCCTCCATCTTCATCCCTGGACGATAAATACGCAACCCAGCCTTGCTTGCCTGGAGAAATAAAACATACAACACTTCAAACTTCCCATTCGTGGAGCCCCATATTTATAGACTGACATTATTATTATTATTATCAATAATTTAAAAAAAAGTCTAATTTTGTGCTATTATGAGTTTTCGGAGGTTTGATGAAATTCGTGAGCAAGTCACAGATACCAAAAAATGTGCACTATTTTAAAACGCTTACCTCTACTTCAGCCTGCTGCCTAGCCAGTGTGATGTTAAAAATATCCAAGGTCTTCTCAGTCTCCTGAGAATAAAAACAGACAAAAAAAATGTATTTATTAAAATAATTAGACTGGTGGGGCAGAGAGACGAGGGAAGAGACCTAATCTAAAATATTTCAGGTACCTGTCTGAAAATAACAATCAATCGACCATTTCAAAACAAAAACATATGTATACTAAATGATTTTGAAGTGAATAACTGTTGGATAAACTGAGCAGAAACCATCACATATCAATCAATTTACGTGTGTGTGTGTGTGTGTGTGTGTTTTCCGTCTTCTCAAACCCCCAGCGAGTCGCGGCGAATGGCTGCTCATACTGAGCCAGGTTCTCAGAGGTTCCTTCCTGTTAAAGGGGAGTTTTCCTCTCCACTGTGGCTATATGCTAGTTTAGTATGGGGGTTGCTGTGAAGTCTGACACAACAAGTCAGTGACTCGAGGCAGTCTGCAGGGTTCCTCATTTTGGAAACTTTTAACTAATCGGCTTAATGAACTGAACTCAACTGGAATGTTTACTTTGTGAAGTGCCTTGAGACAAATATTGTCGTGATTTGGCGCTACATAAATAAACTGAACTGAATTGAAATAACATGACCTTAAGACCAAAGATCTCCTCTAAATATCAAACTAATATAGTTTTGTCATAATACTTCATGTCTATTATATTCAGGTTTTGTAGCCCACCTCTAGCTGCTTGAGAAGCTCATCACTTGGCTTCTTGCTGGTGATTTTAGTCTTGTAGAGCTCTCTGTAACACTTTGCCGTCTTCCGGTGCCGCTGAATGCGTTTCCAAGACCACATATGCAGACGTGGCTTCACGTCCACCTCCAGGATGCCTCTGATCACATACTTCCACCTGAAATTCAGGTACATGACAACACACCATCAGATGCTCTATCTGTGTAAATAAGCAAAGTGGTAGCAAAACATCAAATATATATGATACTCAAGAGGTTACTGACCATTTGCGAGCATTCTTGTGAATGTGTACATCAGGTCTGTACTTCCTGTATGGCAGGTTACGAGACATCATATCTACAGAGCCAAGCAGCTCTAAGATGCTAATGTACTAGAAAGACAGGAAGTTAGTAATTACTAAGCAGCAGAGTGCTGGAGTGCAGTTATTATCTCAGACTGTTTATCTTCTGTTTTTACTGGTGGCATTCTGAACACACACACACACACACACACACACACACACACACACACACACACACACACTAACCTGAGGTCTGTTGAGCTCAATGGCCACCTCACGAAGGTTGACCATTAAATCGACTTTAGGAGAAGAAAAATCCACATCTGATCTGGGATTCATCCGCAGTTTAGCATCAGCAGAAATGGGACGAAAAACTGTGGACCAGCAAAACCAAATAGATCTTTTGTTTTCAGGATGAAAAAATAAAACCTCTGATGCATTTTTGTTTACAGGGATAAACAACAAATCTGCATTTCCTGAGACATTTATATGGTTAATTATAGGGCTGCACGATATTAGGAAAACCTGCGATATTCGGTAACAATCATTAATATTGCGATGACGACATTACTTGCGATAAATAAAAACTTAACTCAGGAACAAAAATAATCAAAAACAATAAAAAAAAATCATAAAAGTGAAAAAAGCTAACGATGTGACGAAAGGGAAAAGGAAAACAAGAAAAGGCAATCAGTGGATCCCAGGAAAAGCAGAATCAGCATAAAGAGCAGAACAAAGCTAACTCAGGTGTTTGCCAACTATCAAAATGAAGTGCCGTCCGCCTCGGAAGCGGGCATCTAACCTATGAGAACCCACCTGATTGGCCAAATGGGTGAAGAGCTCTATTTGATTTGTTAAAAAAACATCATGCTTGTGTTTGATTGACAGAATGCGTTATGTGTAGCAAACATTTGAGCTGACCATTCATTGCGATATTCATCTGTTCTTTGCGATATGCATATTGTGCATGCTGATACCGCGATAACGATATATTTACGATATATTGTGCAGCCCTAGTTAATTAGGTTTTCTTAGGTAGGGATTGAGACAGTCATGCCATATGTGAGTGAAAATCAAAACAATAGCTGTTAAGATGACCTGAAACCTGTTAAAATGCAGTGATGGTAATTCAAAATGTGTCATGCGCTCATTTATAAAAGGCAGCGTGATGTTCGTGTAAAGATTATTCACATACCAAACTGTTTGAAGAACACTCTTTATTCTTCTCATGTGACATCTGTGTTTAGGTGTGTTAAGGGTTGGGTTTGTACAAATATTAAATTAAAGGATGACACTGAGACACTCACTGAAGTCGTGGCTGGCAGGGAGAGAATGAGGGATTTCCATGCTGCTCTGAAGGCATCGCTATTAAGAGAAATGATGAGAGAACATTTAAAATATCACAATCTCTCTTTTATCATTTACTTTTTTCCAAATCAGGCTTTAAAGATAAGCATTTCTGCAAACGTGTGTTTCATATGTAATACAGAATACTGCGTAACCTTCTATGTCAGCTATGATCAAAAATAGGATGCAAGCAGCGGGACGGCAGTTTGACTCACCAGGGCCTCCTCAGGATTGTGATTGGAAAAGAGAACAGAGTTGACATTCCAGTAGGCAAACAAGTTGTCCAATCGAACCAACTGAATAAAGAAAAACACAAAAGCAATTAGAGTGACGAGGCCGCTTACTGTGTTGATGAGAAAAGCCGTGTTGAAGTCTGGCTGATAGCCAAGAGGAAGCTAAACGGAGTCCTAGAACTTTACAGATTAAAATGTTTCATAGAAGTGAATCCCACTGGCTACGTATGAGAGAACAGACAGACAGAAATGTTTTTCATTATTTATTGTTCTACCTTAAAGAAAAGCCTGGCCTTCTCATCCAAAATACTGGGATTCCAGTTCGAATCAGCAGTCTGATGAGAAAAAAAACAATAACAGGGTCAAATCACAGCAAATAGAACAGAATAGGAATAAGTACATTTATAAACACTTACCTGGAGGCTGAGGTTTTTAAGTGACACTCCAAACGACAAAGGGCAGTTTGGATTAGTGACCTGCAAGACAAGGAAAACATCTAAACGCAACAACCTACAAGATTTAAAGTAACATAAACATGTTACCAAGTTCCGACCCTTTCTTTATCATTTACAAACTAAATTGTGAAAGGATTTGATTTTTTTAATCCAGAGACTCTTCTTAAATACTCACATCATCTTCATAGCGAACGTGAATATTTGAGATCTTGATCTGCAGGTTTTTGATGACCTGAGTCACGAGTTTTTCCACAAACGTGTCCTGCTTCTCCAGTTTAGGGTTTTCTGTCAAACACAATAAAACACGATACTTGCACTTTGCATGCTTTCTTTGCTTTAGGATTAAAGTTTGACGCAAATCTTTTCAGATAATAATAAACGAAGCAGAAGTGTCTGCAGCTTAGATCAAAACTGGGTTTGGGCCATCAGAAACTGGTGCCTCGAGGCCGCTACTGATAATGTAGTCTTTAATGTCAAGAATATTTAAAATGTTTCTATTAAAAAGTAAATAATATGACGTTTAATTTAATTAACTGAACTCTGACCTTGCTCAGCAGCCTTCAGCTTTGTCTCCTCTATTCGCTGCAGTTCCCGCTGACGAGCTTCCTGTAGCTGCTTCTCCTCCTTCTCAGCATCGTATTTTATGCCTGAAATGCAAAGGAGCAAAAAATACATTAAAGTGGCAGTGTGTAGTTTCCTGGTGCTAGGGGGCGCTACATACATTTCAGGGTAGTTTTACACCATATCATTCTGATTGTTTCTAGTTTATGGGGCAGCAGTAGCACAGGAGGTAGAGCGGGTTTCCAGTAATCGCAAGGTTGCAGGGTTGAACCCGGCTCAGGACAGAGAACTCTGCTGTTGTGTCCTTGAGCAAGACACTTAACCCACCTTGCCTGCTGGTGGTTGTCTGAGGGACGGGTGGCGCCTGTGCTCGGCAGCCACGCCTGTCAGTGTGCCCCAGGGCAGCCGTCATCGCCTTCAGTGTGCGAATGTGTGTGAATGGATGAATGATACAATGTTGTGTAAAGCGCTTTGGAGTCCTCTGACTCTGAAAGGTGATATTCAAGTGCAGGTCATTTATCTTAGATCATAAAAAAAACATTACGGTAAATGTTACGTGTGCAGCAGCAAGCATGCCACCTCTGCGTGACTCCACAGACTTTGATGGTCCTTCAGTTAATTGCATCGAGAGAATGCAATGCTGATTAAAGTTTTCTGGCTCTGTAGTTTCTGGATCTGTTCGGGGTCCTGCGCCTGCCGATGATGTCACCCCACTACAGCAATACCAGTCGACCAAAATATATTGCATCTCTTTTTCGATTGTGTTCTTTCAAATGTTTTGTAAAGAGTTTAGCAATTTTGGGCAAGACACTTAACCCACCTTGCCTGCTGGTGGTGGTCAGAGGGACCAGTGGAGCCAGTGCTCGGCAGCATCGCCTCTGTCAGTGCGCCCCAGGGCAGCTGTGACTACATCGTAGCTCATCCCCACAAGGGTGACTGTGTGTGTGAATAGGTGAATGACTGATTATGTTGTAAAGCACCTTGGGGGGTTCTGAGACTCTAGAAGGCTCAATATCAAATACAGGCCATTTACCATATTTCCAGAGAAACATACACATAGTCTCTTTAAACTTTATATCACTGCAAATTCATATGGTTTAGAATAAATTTGTCCTAGAAGACAGGAATACAAATAGAAACAGGTTTTAGTTTTGGAATGACATTTTTTGACAACTGGTTAATAGTCTTCCTAAAAAAAAGTGTAAAAGAAAAATGTTGTCATCTTCAGCACAGAGCAAAATTAAAACTCAATGTTTATGTGTTTTGAGTTTGTGAACTTACTTGCTGTGGGAACTATTAGTAGGTAGACCCCATCTAGTGTGGCCTCTACTGATTGGGTGTAGAGGTTTTTCCAAGGGATCTTCAGCTCCAGACGTCCTAATAACAAAAAACACAGTGAAAAAGGTACCAAAACGAACCAAGCCTGGTGAAACGAGACCATCAATCTTACCTATGTGGCCAGCTCGGACTTTAAAGGGTATATCTAGTTGACTCTGCAACAAAGAAACATAAAACTCCAGAATTTATTACTGGGTTAACACTGGTTGATTTAGCATTAAACAGCAACTTACCAAGGCATTTTCCTTTATCTCAAGATTTTTAAGAACCGCATCACCTGCAATGACAATAATACATATAGGCTGTTGCCCCGTGTGCTTAAAACATGAAGGATGTATTAAAGTGTATGTGCAGCATCTGAATGAGGCATGTCTTCAGGCAACAGAAATAAAATCCAGTAAGACCTGACACTGGATCTGAGACAAACTTAGCTAATAAATCAACTAAATGAAGCTATTATGTATTTTTCATACATTTTATCAAATAACCCAGATCAAGGTATGTGTCTTTGTGACAGGCTGCAGATATGATTTGGAAGTGGTTCATCCCTTGAGTACAGGAAATATAGGAGCATATAGAAACTTAAGCCAAAACATTTAAAATAGAAAATGCATTAAAGGCTGGCTACTTGGAAGCAAAATCTAAAGAAATTAGTAAATCAAGACTTTATGTTTCTAAATCTGATTACAACAAGCACTTCAAACATGCACTCAGCGTTCCGGGGTTTAGCCTGGCGGGTTTGGCGAAATGAAAATTATGGTAGATGCTTTAGTCTTAAGAATGCAACTCACGAGTCTTAACCTGGCTCTAGGAAAGGGCGCGACCCTGAACTACTCGCTTCCCAGAAACTTCAAGAAATCAAAGAGGCATGCCGAACAAACCAAAGAGAAATTAACTGATATTTAACTGAACAAAAACGCGTTTTCAACGCTCTCCAAATCAGCACGTGAATGCAGTGCCGTGCTCATATTGTCTCGCCAAAGTGCACAGCGACAGCAGCTGTGAGACGGTGTCTGCTCAAACGTCAGCTAGCTAGCTAGCGTGTATTTGCAGTTCGCTAGCTAGCTTAACAAACGAGCAAACCCAAGTTCACTTACCTCCCCAAATGCCAAGCTTCAGCTGGGAGCTGTCAAGGTTCACAACGTAGTCTCCTAAAAACCTGTTGAGGACATCCACTACCACGCTCTCGAGCACCATTTTTACGACCCTTTCATCTGTGTGTCAACATGTTTACATTCAGCAGACTTTTGATGTTTTAGAGTCAGAATAGTGAAACATTCGACGTGTAGGGGATTGCGCTCTACGTCACGCCGTAACATCCGGGTTTGAGAAGTATGGCAAGTCGTTGTAACATATAAATAATGAACCCAAGTCTTTGTAACATATAAATAATGAACCTGCACTCCTCAGTAAACTTGTCAGATAGTGTGTTTAAATATAAATACCGTATAAAAACCTGAAAGCAAAATGTGTTTTTTGGCCACTTGAAAAATGACTGAAAATCATTTTTGCATGATGGTTGGATCTTACAAGGTTAAAAGTAGAGCTTATATGCAACAAGAAGAAATTGGAGTGAGACAAAACATGATCTGTGCATGTATTTTACTGAATACAATGCTTAAACTAATCAAAAGTTTATTATATCAAGCAAGCACAGAAAAGGCTGAGTGCATTCAGTAGTGGGCATTGTTCAAAAATCAGAACGTTCATTTTTCAAACAAAATTAACAAAATGAAGCTGCATTCAAGACACAGTGCAAGGTTGCATTCGAATAAGTACACTTACAAACAGTAAATTATGTTTTAATAAACGTCTGTGGTAGCTTGTTTAGTATCACAAACACAGTACAGAATACTAAAGAAGAGATTATGACAAATACTTTTTTCATGTAAGTAGAGCAGTGTCTCTACAATAATGATAAATGACAGAAATAGTATAATAATAGATAAATAACATTAACAACATACTTTTTGCCTCTCAGAGACATCATTACTATCAATCTGACATCATGTTTTGTAAAAGTGCTCAAACAGCTTATCTTACCGAATATCCAGATAGTTTTTCCACTTTATTTACAACACTGGCACATCCATTTTTGCCTGTGGTGCAAAAGCATCTTAAGATCATAAATCACACAGTATGTCTTTACTGTGCATCACCTCAAAACACTGTTAAGGTAAATGAATCCTAAAATAATACTCTTATGCTAGTTCCCTAAGAAGCAGTAACTGCTTTAGTGGTACACTGGTCATTCCGATCACCACTCCCCTCCTCAGGGCTCCAGCTGCAGGTTTGTTCACCACTTTCACCCTGAGCTGCAGTTCCACTAGATCCTTGTGACTGAGCTCTGTGAAGAAGAAATCCTCATTAAACACAGGGCTGCGACAGTTCCTGATGGTGGCGCTCTTCTGCTGCTGCAGCTTCCCTGGTGTGAGACACAGACTGACTGCACAGTTCAGGGTGCACTGGTCTGTTTCATCACTCAAACCTTCCACAGACACCACGCGCACCCTCAGCGAGTAAAGGGTTGAGGAATTGTTGTTGGAGAATGTTGTTTGTTCGGCTGAGAGGTGAACTTTGCCGAATCCTTGTAAGGGAAGGACGTGTTCATGTTGAAGTCTCTCCTGGCATTGGAGAATGTCCAGTGAAGGGGGGACAGGTGGGGACAGGGTGAGCGAGGGTTCCTCTGACGTTGGAGGGCTACAAGGAGAGGATGTTAAACTCAAACCAACCTTCTGCAACCTCCCACTTTTCTCCTTGATCTCAAACAGTAAAGGACAGGATTTAGTTTGCTTGAGGCAACCACGTCTTGATGGGACGATGTTGGGTGACTTGTAGCAGGACCCAAAGGGAGAGTCGTCGTCAGAGGAAGGAGTTTCCCTTTCACTGCTTCCTGCTCCTGGACGGTGTTTGCATGAAAACAGTTCAAACACGTACCCAGAAGATTTAGAAAGGAGCAAAGACTCTTTCCTTCGAGTGTTGGGCCTCTCATACAACCCAACCAGACCATAGTCTTCTGCAGAGAAGGGCAGCGGTTTCTTTGAAGCCTTCTGAGACGGTGATGTCTGCGTAGCACTTGAATACTGCTTTTGATGGTCCAGGAATAGTTGACCTTTCTCCACTTCTGGCAGAGGACTCCTCCTGCAAAGCCGTGGAGGCAGGCAGAACTCTGGGATGTTATCCGGTGTAATGATGTTGCTGTGCAGATTCTGGGATGAGCCGGTCTTAGATGAAAACGGAAGATCCTCCTCACCTTTCCTCATGTAGCGATTCAGCTCTTGGGGAATGTTTTCCACTCTCTCCCTGATCTTCCCGAGGACCCACATGATTGATTTATGGTGGTGTCTGCCAGCAAATCCAAATCCCCTTTGCAATTAAAACAAAATATATTGTTTAAACTAAACCTTATTTCAACAAATTATTAAAGTTTCGTTTAAGAAGTGAAATAAATATTCTTTTCCCACCTGTGACGATGTGATGAAGCTTTTGCTGAAGAGAGATCTGCTTGTGTGTGACGCGTGTGACAGATTTTAAAGGTTACCCCATGTTTATTCGTCATTGGTCTGCCTCCCACCCCCGCTTAAAACAAGCGTTCCCTATTTATCGCACGCAAGAACGCACATCGCATTCTCTGTGTATTGGGAAACTCTTCACAAACTGGGGCGGTGACTCATCGGATCAGGTGCATTGATGTGCATTTAGCTGTGATGTCAGTTTCCCAGGATGTCTGACTTTCTATAAAGGCTTAAGACATTAGGTTTTAATATTCAAAAGTCAGCTGAAATGCTACATATGTTAGCATATGCATATTAGCTGAGATGATAAAATTTAAACCTGATTCTGAAGATTATATTTTCTATATTTGATTAAATGTGTTGAGAGCTGATGTCTCGTTCAAAGACGCGAGTGTCACGGACGGTCACGCAGCATCCTCTGCCTCAAAGCTCTTCTAACCTTTACACCGCTGTTTGTCTCTCTCTCTCTCTCTCTCTCACACACACACACACACACACACACACACACACACACACACACACACACACACACACACACACACACACACACACACACACACACACACACAAACACACACACACACACACACACACAACTAATCTGATGTCAGACTGATTTTTCTCTAACAGAACCCATAACTGATGTTTTGAAACAGAAAAAGACAGTTAGACAGATAAAGTGTCGTGAAAAAATTGTCTCGTTAAAATTTTTTTCAAGTTTTGTTTTGTTTGTTTCACTTAAATGATCCAATATCAGCTAACAATGTCCCATATCAGACAGGAAGTACCTGAGTTAATGCAAATGGAGCTTTCAAATGATTTTTGTTTTAAATTATATTAAAATGTGTCTGTCTGGCCATGTGAAGTAGACCACATGTATTGAAAAGCAACACATCTAGTCCTGTCCTGAAGTCATTCAAGTGCAAGTAGGACTTGATGGAACCTTGAAATCATCTCTCTACCAGCAAATCCTGAAAGAAAATGTCTGATATTTGACCCAAAACAGGCCTTTGATGCTGGGAAAATACGATGTTTATTAAATCAATTAGATAATAAAATAAATGGACATTTTTGTATGTAAAAAGGAATACATGGCACATGAAAACCTACATTATTTGTACTCAGCATGGATGTAGTTTATTTCTGGGGAAGACAGGGGGACATGCCCCCCCCCCCAACACACACACACACACTTTTCCCAAAGTAAATTTTTGTCCCCTGCACTTTTTACCGGCCAAAAACAATATTACGCTAAATTACAGTAAACAGACACTGGTTGAGCACTAGGACCAAGAGGAAAATGTCTGCTTGTGTTGAAGCCTGTTTCCCATTAGAACCGTCCATAAGCTCATTTATTGGCTCTGCTGATACTTGCTAACATGTGATTGGACATTCCTGCCACCCGTGTACTTGACAGTTCTGCATTCCTGACATTACATAAAAGAGCCTCTAGGCTGTAGTTTCATACATATGTTTTGTATACTTTATGTAAAGACCCCCCCTGGTCCTCATGTAAATAAAAGATTGTAAATTATATCCAATTAAAGTGTTTTTGACAATATAAAAAATCTAAAACAAGTCAGTTCAAATTAATTCTTATTAGTTTAAACTGACACATTTTTACTGTGGAAAAAACAGGCTTTTATTAATAATCTCACAAAGTTTAAATGATAATTAACATTTAGAATATTTTTTAATTATTAAATGTTGAAAAAACATTAAGGGAGGGCCATTTTTCTTAATAATTTGCATCATAATAATATTTTCTAATAAAGTCTAAATTGCAATGTTTTCTGACTTGGAGATTCTGCTTGTGTAGAACTTTCATCTCTTTAATCTGGTTGGTTGGAATCTATGGTGGCCTATTTAATCCACCAGAGGGCACAAGGGAATCAGATTAATGATGTTAGCACAGCTTTCCTTCAGTAAAACTTCACTAATAAAAAAGCTATGCATCTGAAGAATGACATCAAGGGATGAGAAAATGTAAAGATCATTTAAACGTTTGTCAAATTTGAGGAGAAAACAAACACACACATTCTTGTCTTGCATTCGTTGTGAGATCCGTCATTGACTTCTATTCATTTTCGTGACTGGATTGTGCCTCACCCTAACCCTGACCCTAACCATTACCAGTCTGCTCCTAACTTTAACTAAGATGTAATTCGTACCCTACCTCTAAAACTAACGAGTAGTGTACCATTACACTAGAGTGAGACAAAATGTCCTCACTTTGCAGGTGAAAAGTTTGTCATTGGTCCTCAGTTTGGTATATAGACAAGTACACACACACATGCATTGTTTTTCACTTATTTTTAATCACAACAATCAGATAAGATCGTTTTAATCTACCTAAAAACAGATGTGTGTGTGTGTGTGTGTGTGTGTATGTATGTGTGTGTGTGTGTGTGTGTGTGTGTGTGTGTGTGTGTGTGTGTGTGTGTGTGTGTGTGTGTGTGTGTGTGTGTGTGTGTGTGTGTGTGTGTGTGTGTGTGTGTGTGGACAAAAAATAATGAATATGATGAACACACTCGCTCCAGGACCTGGGATCATTCAGGTCTCTGAAGGCTTTTTGTGGTACTAAAGATCAACTTTATTACACTAATAAAAACTTAGAGTGCTCTTTCTAATGGAGAGATAAGTGATTAGGAGTCAGAGGAGGACCTTGTCTTTAGCTGCTGTCACTGCTCTAATTAACACTAACGAGAACACCGTATGCACTTTAGTCGGGAGTTAAGCTCCTCATTTTTGGAATCATTTGCAAGGTGTCTTTAGTTTGTTTGTTATGCCAGCTGTTAAGGAGAACAATTCTCTTTTTTTCCAGTCTAACTTCAGCTCTGATGATTCAATTGAGGCAGGCAGGTTCACATTGCAGCCCGATGATCATTTGTGGCCCTCGGTTGCATTTGTTGCACACTTGAATTTTGTCTCTCGAGAAAGATGTAGTAAGACCTGTGCTTTCAAATATTTTTATATTCAGAGATTTGTTTATTTGAACACTATGTTTAAGCAAAACAAAACAAAATTCCCTATAAAATAATTTTTGCCTGATTTATAATTACAAAAGGACTTTTTGAGGCCTGTGAAGACCTGTATTTCCTGACGATTTTGGCCCTCGTCTTGAAAAATTTGGACATCCCTGACATTTTAAAGCAGAGTTATACCAAAGCAGGAGTGAACAGGACTTCTCTTTTTAAATTACATGAATCTTGTTTCAGTCATTTGGAAGAGATTAACAGTCTAATATTGACCCTCGCAGTGGTGTATCTCCTTTTTTGTGAATTAACTCGGTAACATAAATAGTCACTTTATTTTAAGTGTCTCTGTGACCACAAACATTGTGATTGATGCATGTTTTCTCTGAGGGAAGCGGTAACTTTACCTTCCTTAACCAGCCACCTGAGGCAAAAAGTCAGCTTTTAACCTTCTTCTATCCCTGTCAACTTTCCTCACACAAAATCTGCACCTGTTTTTCTTTCTTGCTAATTGAGTTCACTTCCTCTGTGTAGTTTACGTCTCACTCTCTTTGCGACTGTGTTGTGTTATGCTCTTGAGTAATTGTTGTTTAGTTTCTCTAATGTAAACATCTGCTGGACAGTGCTCCTATACTGGACTGCATAGACGACCCCACTGAGCTTCTGTTTGGGTGTTTTGTCTCCTGGATGGACCAGTTTCTGTCTGAGGGTGTTGGGTTTAAAGTTTACCGGGATGTTGTGTTTGGAGAAGATTCTTCTAAGTTTCTCTGCGACTCCTGCCACGTATGTGATGATGGTGCCTTTGTGTAAAGGGTGTTGTTGTTAGGTTGGTACCAGAGCTCTCATGTTTAGTGTTAAGTTCAGAGATCATGGAATGGGATCAAGAATTTTCTACTGACAGGAAAAATATCTCAGCTAACGTAGCTGTAAATCACAATGGATAAGTCTCTGTGGTTGCATTTATTTTACATTTATTTTACTACCTCTTACTAGAGCTGTCTTTAGTAGGCGCAAAATATATTTGGTTGTACACCTGTGCAATAGCAATAAATTATCTTAAATCTTAATTTCTGTTGAATGTACTTCCTGAATGAGTGACCTTTTCAGGCTAAAATAACAAAATGACAAATGCAGACAGAAGGACAACTGCTTTCTTCTTTTATAAGGCGTTGCATCACCACCTGGTATCAGAACAGGACTCAGTATTGGAAGATAATCAAAAATCAAACAACTTGGACTCGGATCAGGGGCAGAAATGTGGTTGTAACATCTCTAGATATAAGTCAGCTTTAAAAACTAAAACTATTATTTATGAACTAACATGAACACTAATGACACTAATTGATATATTTTTATTATGTTGTTTGAACCCAAGTTTCTCATTATCTGAATTTTCTAACTTGTTGGATTGCTCTATAAGTGCCCCCCCCCCTTTTTTTTTTACTTTGAGCACCCGCCCCGTCAAAGGTCTCTGCACGGCCCTGCTTTGCGTACAAATGAAAAAATAAACAAACCGTTCATTCTGACTTAAACTCTTGTCAGATAGAGATGTGCAAAAATCATATTTATTCAATTGCCAGTCTTCACTCAAATTCTTCCAACATTGCTTCCATTCTTCTGCACTGTATTAACTGGCTTTCGAGGAGGAATACGTTTTAAAAGCCTGAGCAGGATGTTTGTTCAAAACCACTGAACACCTGTTAGAGTTTAAGAACTACTAAAAGACAGAACCTGTTGTGTAATCAAACATTTTAACACTATTTTCCCCCTTTATTTAAAAATGGTCAAAGAGACAATATACAGTTTTTATATACAGTGGCCATCCCTAGAAAATTGCTGGCCCCCGCAGCAAAACCCAGTGTTAATAAATCATATTAATGTTTACTCAAACCATTAATTGATCTTATTTATTCAAGACATAATTGTAAAACAAAAGAAAAATAATACAATTAATG